TCTTGGTTTTCATGCTCTTTAACCCCAATTATGCCCAACTGCTCTTAAAGTAAAGCAAGTCAAACTTGGAATTTTGAATGAAGTGACATCCCTGTACAGGGAAGGTGGGAACTAGAAGGTGTTTTTTGTCACAAATCACTGCAATATTTGGGCTTATTCACCAGAGCAGGCTCAGGCAAGATTCCCTGGGTTTGTGGTTACATTTAGCCCAGAAATAGGTGAGATCAGTTCCCATGAATGGAATTGCAGGGAGGTGAGGGAGCTGCACCCAGAGGTGGTGCAGCAGAGGAGAGTCTTCTTCTGGGGTCAAACTGAGATGATACCAAGGTGTTACTCTGGCAGGTGGAGGAATCTGAAGTATCTGTCATCTCCAACAACACACCAGATGTCACTCAGTGTGGCCTCACCCTTGTGCCTGGATTCGGGAAAAAACACATCACTTAATAGTCCAAGTCTCACAAAAAGCCAGAGGATTTACTAACTTAAATGCTGCCATCAGCTTCAGCCTCAGTCCCCCAGATTTCTCTATCCAGCTGACTTTTTCCCAATTGATTTAAGCACTCACCTCACCCAAACTTAAGAAATTCAAGCCTGATATTTTACTGAGACTGCAGTAAGAGTAGGGCAGTGACACTGGAAAAGATGCTTTGTCTCAAAAATACCTTATGGACACAGTCCTAACCCTATAAATCCCCCTCATGTTCCCAAGCACCTCCTTCAGTGCCTCTGAGACCTCCAACCTCTCTGCTTAAACATTTTTGAAGCCCTTCCTCTCCTGCCCCCTCAAGGTTCCCAAACTGCTTGGTCATGTTGAGGATTAAAACCAGCACTAAGATTGGGCAGTTTATAAATGGATTTCAAGACTGAGGGTGTTTTTAAACTAATTCTCACAAGTTACAATCAGGAGAGAGAAACCAGAGAGGGAATATCCATCCCTCCCAGTAGCCCCTGGTGGAGCCGTTGGTACCAAACCAAGCTCGTGTCAGTTCTGGGGGGTGTCTTGGCATGTTTTACTCCCAGGATGTGCCAGTCCCTCTCTCACAGTGGTAACCATAAAAAAATACCAAACAGGGCATCTGTCAGTGGGTAATTACAGGAAATATCATCCTGCTCCTGTGCAGAGTCTGTTCTGGAGAGAGGAACAAACCTGAGCCATCTCCAGCAGCTCCTGTGGAGCTGCCAAGGTGAATGACACCAGAGCCAGGGACAGGCAGCTCTGGGCTGGGACTGGGAATGAGGAAATCATTTCATAAATGTCAGTTCTTGCCCTGGATGTCTGCAAACAGACTGCAAGAGCTTCTAAGGGCCCAGTTACACGGATTTAGTGCCATTTCCCAGTAACTTGGAAAGCATTCCGAGAGAGGAGCGTGTGTTCTTTTTTATGCTGTGATAAACACCAAAGGAGGGCTATTAATAGAGAATGAATTTAATACAGTGCTGTAGCTCACACCCTTGCCAGTGCTCTAAAAGGTCAAAGGTGACTTGTGTTCCCTGTGCAAAACAAACAATATTCAGTAGTGTAAATTCTATTGGGAGGAGGATGAAAGAAAGAAATTACCCGGAATAATATTAATGAAGGAAGTTTCTCCTCAATATTTGCTTTTGCTGTGACTCAGGTCCTGCTCCTGCAAGCCAAAAATTAACTTTATTTAATGGGTATGCTTGCAAAGCATGCAAAGTGGCCATGGGGTGATGGTTTACAAAACACAGATAGTTTTCCCAACAAAACCACTGTTGCAGAGACCCCAACAGCAGGGAGGGAGCTCAGAGTGCTGGATGTCAGCACGGGGGGGAGGCAGCAGCGAGGAGTGGCATTGCCTGGAGCGATGCTGGGTATCCACAGGATTCCCAGGTGCTGCCAGAGCAGGCACAGTCCACACGGACCCCTCGTGCCATCTGCTGGCAACCAGGCTCAGCATGGAGCAGGGGAGAGCAGGGCTGCCGAGGGATGCTGGAATACTCACTGGATGAGCAGACGATTTTCCGAAGTTTTATTAATTCTTTCAGGAATTCTCTCACTCCCCCAGCCGGGCACTGCCTGCTCCCAGAGGGTAAATCCCCTGCACCACCCCTGTGTGCCTCAGTCCGTGCTCCCAAAGCCCTGCCCAGCAAAGGAGAGCTGGGCCTGGTGTGAGACAATTCCTGGGAAATGAGCTGTAAATACCTAAAGAAATAAGACATTTCTGAAATGTAGAATCATAGAATCATCCAGGCTGGAAAACACCTTCATGATCATCAAGTCAAACAAGCATCATCCTGTTCCTTGTTAAATCTTGTCCTCGACTGCCACAGTCAAATGGTTTTTCAACAGGAATCCGTTGCTGAGATTGATTATTAATAATGCAAAACACCCAGGTTTTGGGGCTCCTGTTGGCAGCACCTTCTGTGTCCCCACCCAGCAACTCCTGCTGTCCCAGGGCTCTCTCACAGCGAAGGGGGTCCCAGATACACCCTGGCACTGGGGGAGCATCCACCAGGCTCTTCCCACTGGGGCACTGCCAAGGTTTCAGTCCAGATTGTGAACAGCAGGATGGTCCTGGGACATGAGCATGGAATCATGGAATGGTTTGGGTTGGAAGGGACCTGAAAGATCATCCAGTCCCACCCCCTGCCATGGGCAGGGACACCTTCCACTAGAACAGGTTGCTCCAACCTGGCCTTGGACACTTCCAGGGATGGGGCAGCCACAGCTTCTCTGGGCAACCTGTGCCGGGGCCTCCCCACCCTCACAGCCAGGAATTTCTTCCCAATATTCAATCTAAACCTTTCTTTCATTTTAAAGCAATTCCCCCTTTTCCTGTCCCTCCATCCCTTGTCCCCAGTCCCTCTCCAGCTCTCCTGGAGCCCCTTTAGGCCCTGGAAGGGGCTATGAGGTGTCCCTGGAGCCTTCTCTTGTCCAGGTGAACCCCTCCAGCTCTCCCAGCCTGGCTCCAGAGCAGAGGGGCTCCAGCTCCTGGAACATCTCCGTGGCCTTCTCTGGATTCATTCCAACCATCCCCAAGGGTTAATGCTCAGCTACAGCTCAGAAATGCAGTGATGGAAGGACTGCAATTAAAAATAACAACAATATTACAATGAAATATATATAAATATATATATATAAAGTAGGAAGACTGGACCTAAGAGCAAAGGGAAATGATTCCTTCTCTCCTTCCTTTCCTCCCTCCTGGTTTGGAAGGTTTTTAGTGATATTTTACACAGCACTGAGGAGGAGACAGAAACACTTTTTCTGTTTGAAAAATGCAACCTTGAAGTAGGGCAGAGAGACTGGATTAAAACAAAAGATCTTTTATTGTCTTCAACTGAAGAGGGTGATACAGAGGAACTACACTTATTTTCATCATATAAAAAAAAAAAGAGAGCCCTTTATTTACACAAAGTGTTCAAAGCTGCCAATGGTTCCTAACAACAACTCTGTATTTTCCTTGTATTTGTTAGTTATTCCCACCTGGATGGAGCAAACATTGGTCAGTAACACTTAGGAAAACAGGTAAGAAGCTTTTGGGCAGGAAAAATAAGGATGATGTTTGGAAAGCAACGGGCATTTCACTGTAACAAACCCACCAAAATACTTACAACCAGTCACTGACTAAAGAACAGTTTTCAGCAGGGGCTCAGCAGCCTTATCATTCTCAGCCTGTCTTTTATGTCCCCATCTAAATATATCCTGGACATGCACAAACTCGACATGTATGAAAAAAAAAAAGGTAGAAATTTATTTAAAAGTAATTGTGCTTTTATTTATAAAAAAAAATTTACAATCAGACACTGTCCTGCTGTGTTTCCCAAAGCATGGTTCTCTTCAAAATGACAAAAATGTAGCTTATTATTATTATCATTATCATCATTATTATTATTATTACTTTGTCTTTATATTAATAATATTAATCTTATGCTTTAGTTTAAAATCATACTGTTTTCCCCTTCCCATCCCCTCCTTCTCTGTGGTACTTGATATATATATATAAAAAAAGGCTTTCAAACAACTGACGAATTTCCATTATAACTAATAATAATAATAATAATAATAATAATAATAATAATAAACCTTACACCTTTCCATGTGTAAAATACGGCTGGTTCTAAAACAAACTCCCAACGTACAAAGCTGTTCTCCCTCCCCTCCCCTGGGCCACCCGAGAGACACTCAGAGAACGTGGAAGAACTTTTGATCCCAGAGCCTTTCTGGGGGGGGGTTAAAAAAAAAATAAAAAAAAAATAAAAAATGACTGACCCCAACATCCAACCCTTGAGATGGTTGTCTTTGGTGTGGAGGACGTCGCCGGCGGGCAGCTGGAATACTGGAGCCGGGAGATTTAAGGCCTGTCATCGGGAACGAAGCCTCCGCGGGGCCGCGGGTCACCCGTGCTTGGGGACGGCTGCCAGCTGCTCGGAGCCACCCCAGCCGTGCCAGAGGATGTCCCCACACCCCCCTGTCCGTCCGTCCGTCCGTCCCCCCCTCCCCCTGCCCTCCCCGGGGCTCTACGCTCGCTTCCGTCGGCCTTCCAGGTTCCGGAAGCTGGAGGGTCTCAGCTTCATCTCTGCAAACTCGATGGAATACTCGTGGCCCTTCCAGTGGAACCAGTTCACGCCCTGGGGAGGAGAAGATGAAGAGTGGGAGGTCACACATTCACTGCTCTTGTCAGGATTGGTGCTTTCCTTTCAGGCTGAGGTTGTTTTCTGGTTTGGGCACAACAAGGAGGGGCTTTGGGGAGCCCAGGGAATGTACAACCTGTCCAGACCTACCCACAGGCTGTCAGAGAATGGTTGGGGTTGGAAGGAACCTTAAAGGTCATCTTATTCCACCCCCTGCCATGGGCAGGGACACCTTCCACTAGCCCAGGTTGCTCCAAGCTCCGTCCAACCTGGCCTTGGACACTTCCAGGGATGGGGCAGCCACAGCTTCTCTGGGCAACCTGGGCCAGGGCCTCACCCCACTCACAGGGAAGAATTTCTTCCTAATATCTGCTCTAAACCTCCTCTCTGTCAGTGGGAAGCCATTTCCCCTTGTCCTGGCACTCCAGTACTTGTAAATAGCCTCTCTCCATCTTTCCTGTAGCTCCTTCATGTCCGGGAAGGCCACAGTCAGGTCACCCCAAAGCTTCCCTTCTCCAGGCTGAACAATCCCAGCTCTCCCAGCCTTCCCTCCCAGCAGAGCTGCTCCAGCTCTCTGATCATCTTGGTGCCTCCTCTGGACTCTCTCCAGCAGCTCCATGTCCTTGCTGTGCTGTTCCCCAGGGCTGGAGCAGCTCTGCAGGGGGGTCTCATCTGAGGGGCAGAGGGGCAGAATCCCCCCCTGCCCTGCTGCCCATGCTGGGGGATCAGCCCAGGGCACGGGGGGTTCTGTGCTGGGTCATGTCCAGCCTGTCCCCCATCAGCCCTTCTCCCAGGGCTGCTCCATCTGCTCATCCCCAGCCTGGATTAACCCAGGAGTTGCCCTGGACCAGGTGCAGCACCTTGAGCTTGGTCTTGTTAAAACTCTGCCCCCCAGAGCTGTCCCTCCCTGCCTGGCTTTCAGGGCAGGAAGAACATTTTGTTTCACATGTTGAAAACTCCAATTGTTCCCTGCACATTGGGATATTCCCTTGGGAACTCAGACAAAACCATCAATATTTCAACAGCTGATGTTAAATCCTTATTTTGTGGGCAAATGCCCATATATTTCTCTGTGATCCTGAAGAATGGGCTGGGTTGGTGCTCTGATATCTGGTTGAACCATCAGACAGATCCATTACTGCAATTCCCCTTTTTCTCAAGGATTACAGAAGCTTCCAACCCCAAACTCACCTGACTGTGGCTGTTGTCCCCATATCTGCCCATCAGATTGACCCGGTGGCAGTTCTTGTACCAGAAAGCACCTTTGTATGACAAAGCACAGTTGGTGATGGCAGAATCATGGTCCTTGTCAAAGGTGGAGAAGGACCTTCCATTGTGGTAGGTCATGGAGTCACCTGGATGGGAGGAGATGGAAGAGCAAGGTCAGTGTTTTGCCTGGTTTTTCATGGGAATGCCCATTCTGGAGCAAATGTTTGGACTGTGCCATGCACTGTCTAAATCATCAACGTGTATTTAAGTTTTTAAAACTGGACTTGTTTTAATATAGAAGGAAATGCACAATTTTTGTCATCGCAAGCAAATCAAAATATTTTCCCAGGTGGTTTCTAATCCCCAACATATCAAGTGGGTTTTTGTTTTTATGCAGTTCAATTGAAAGTGTGGACAAAGCAATTCACAAGGAGGGAATCAAGACCAAAGGAGTCTCCACCAACCTGCACCAGTGTATTTTGCCTTAAATCATAGAATCTTGGAATGGTTTGGGTTGGAAGGGACCTGAAAGATCATCCAGTTCCACCCCCTTCCACTAGAACAGGTTGCTGCAACCTGGACACTTCCAGGGATGGGGCAGCCACAGCTTCTCTGGGCAACCTGTGCCAGGGCCTCCCCACCCTCACAGGGAAGGATTTCTTCCCAATATCCCACCTAAACTAAACAGACATTAATTCTCTTGCTGCATATCCTTTGTATCTCTACAGTCTGTGCATAAAGTTCCTGTGCTGGTCACAGGGCAGACCCCACACACATCCCTGCACCAGTAGCATGAAATTATCTCCTTTTAAGACAGGTTGTGAAACTGGATTTATCTCTTAATCCTCTGAAGCCCTGAAGAGGACTCAGTAAGGGCTGCAGGGTTTGCCCCAGCGTGATTACAAAAGGCAGCTGATTTGTTCAGCAAAATTATAAATCATGTTATAGCAGGCCTTTGCTGCAAATTCTACTGACAAGGAATGAGGCTGTGCCAAGCTATTATTGGCTGTATAAATGACAGTCAGGATTGGCCAAATGAGATATACTGTGGTTTAATATACTTGTTTAAATCCTGTCACAAGCATGGCATGAAATGTGGCATCGAAATGACTGGAGGATTTAAAATGGAAACATAAAATATACTGATATTTTGGAACACCTAACACAGAAGAGGTACCTGCTGTGATGGTGATTATCATGCACACAGTTACCATGAGCCAATGGGGAGAAAATCATAAAGGAGAAGTAAAACAATCAATAATCATAGATGAGAGTCAAGATTGGCCAGATGAGATATATACTGTGATTTAATATACTTGTTTAAATCCTGTCATAAGCAGGCCGTGATATGTGGCACCAAAATGACTGGAGGGTTTAAAATGGAAACATAAAACACATTGATACCTTCCTATTTTCAAACACCTCACACAGAGAAAAGGTACCTGCTGTGAACTGATCAACACACCCATAATTACAGAGTCAGTGGGGGAGAAATCATAAATGAGAAGGGAAAAAGATCAATATTTGCTCTCACCTGCTGTGCCACTGTACCCATCCACCCTGAGGCGGTACCTGCTCTTGGCATCCCCCACACTGAACCTGTCATAGACAGCATAGGCTGTGTCCCCCTTGTCCCTCAGGTCCACACGCAGCTCGTACTGCCCCTGAGAAGTGATTTTGTGCAGGTTCTCCAGGCCTGTGGACAAAAAGGAGCAGTTTGTTTGTCTCCCTGTGTTTGTTTCTCTGCCATGGTGTCGTCCCATAAATGGGCTGCAGGAATAAGGCAGGGCACAAACACTGGGGAGGGAAGTTCAGCTGGAGGGGGATGTCAGCACCAAAGCAAATAAATAAATCCAGGCTGAGTGAGAGACCCCCTTCCCTTACAATAAATAAACCCAGGCTGAGTGAGAGACCCTCTTCCTTTCAATAAACAACTCCAGGCTGACTGAGAGACCCCTTCCCTTTCAATAAACAACTCCAGGCTGAGTGAGAGACCCCTTCCCTTGCAATAAATAAACCCAGACTGACTGAGAGACCCTCTTCCTTTCAATAAACTACCCCAGGCTGACTGAGAGACCCTCTTCCTTTCAATAAATAAACCCAGGTTGACTGAGAGACCTCTTAACTTCCAACCACAGGAGCAGGAAGCTCGTTGGGAAAAGCTCCCAAACTTGTCCTGTGTGATCATCGTTGTCTTTCATTAACAACCAAATAAAATGCAGCCCAACCTTTGGAAACGTGGGGGTTTTTTTACTTCTATTTTCCAAAATGTTGGTTTTCTACCTCTGTTTTCCCTGCTTGGCTTCTCTGAATCAGAAGCACAGTTTGTTTGTCCCTCTGTGTTTGTGTCTCTGCCATCCCATAAATGGGAGCAGAGTGGGCTGCAGAAATAAAGCAGGTGAGGACTGAACTTTCAACACTGGGGAGGAAAGTTCAGCTGGAGGGGGTTGTCAGCACAAAAGCAAATAAATAAACCCAGGCTGACTGAGAGAGCTCTTAACTTGCAACCAGAGAAGCAGAAAGTTCACTGGGAAAAGCAACCAAAATTGTGCTGTGTGATCATCATTGTCTTTCACTGACAACCAAATAAAATGCAGCACAACCTTTGAAATGTGGGCATTTTTACTTCTATTTCCCAAAATGTAGGGTTTTTACTTCTATTTTCCAAAATGTGGGGGGTTTTTACTTCTATTTTCCCAAATGTGGGAGTTTCACTTCTATTTTCCAAAATGTTGGTTTTCCACATCTATTTTCCATGCTTGGCTCCTCTGAATCACAGGGGTTTGTTGCTGGGGGTGTCCCAGGAGCACAGGAAGAAGGTGGTTTGCAGTTGCTTCTCAGGTCACCTCTGACTTCTTCCAGAGCACCAGTGGGCATTGGGTGGGTACCTTTGGTGACCCAAACATGACATCTCTGAACTGCAGTGGCAGGGACAGGTTTGGACCTCAGTCCACCTCACAGAGGATCTCCCTGCCCTCCTTCCCCCAGACCACAATTCCCCTTTACAAACACTCTTACCTAAATGGAAGCTCCTAAGTGGTTCCCAATATTTTGGGCTTTTTTTTCATTTAAAAAAAAAGACAAATTCTTGCCACTCACCTATCCAGAATTCATCCTTGGGATCTCCAAAACCTGCCACATAAGTCTTCCAGTTCTTGTAGAAATCTTCCTTCCCATTCTGACGCCTCAGGAACACCTACAACCCCACATGGAACAAGTGTCATGGACAGACTGCCCTGGGCAGAGAGGGGACAAGCCCTGGGGCTTTTACAAACACAGAACTTCACACTCCTTCCCCCCTTCTTATACCACCCAAAGCAGAGCCTCACTGCAATTACTGAATTATACCCAGACTGTTGAATGCTCCTTGGGTTTTTTAAGTCTCTGGTTTCTCTGTTGGGTTTCTCTGATGAGTTCCCAGGCTCCCCCATATGATGTTAGCTTTCAGTTCCTGCTCTCTGCCCTTTTAACAACCTCTTGCAGTTCTGTATTCCTCAGCCAAGGATTTCTCCATTCCCTCTCTCCTAGCCATGCATTTCTCCAGCTCCTTTTTCCTTCCTGTGCCCTAGGTCCTTCTGGCATGTTCAGGTTTGAGGATATCACTACATTTTTAATGCCATTCATTTACTGTTCCTTGTACAGTGGCCTGGGAAGACTTGCTGGCCACCACTCCATGTGCTGAACAAGTGTTCCTCCTGGCTTGTGCTTTAACCTCATTCAGTCTGTCTCTCATCCAAACAGAGTCAGTTCACCCTCCCTTCACCTTGCTAACTATTTAGAAGGTGTGTGTCAATCCTAAGATGGTCATTCCAGCAGCCCCTGTAGCTTTTCCAAGGTGCTGAAACCACTGATGTGACCCAGCCTTTGGAGGCACCTCTCCTCCAACTACTGAAAGAGCTGGTAACCTTGTTTTAGGATAAAATTCCCCAGATTTAGAGACAAGTCAGCCCTACTCTGATCAAATACACACTCTGAGGGATGCCCCAGCTGAGCAGGGTGGGATCTGCTGCTCAATACTCACGATCCATCCGCCCCCGTCCTCGCCCATGTCACAGAAGACCTGCAGAGGCTGAGCCTTGTCCCCGTTCACGTAAATTGTGTAGAGCCCAGAGGTGGCTTCTCCATTCAGGAGGGCCTGGGAGCAGTCCTTGGGGTAAGGGTAGAGCAGCCCAGCTGCACACACAAGAAAAGACAGAGCAGTGCTTAAAAAAATCAGCAATTACGAGGAATTTCTGACAGAGATGAGTCAGGAAAATCCACTATGGGTCGATGGCACAGCCAGGAACAGAACCTGGAAACAGGTTTATGATTACATCCTATAAAACATTCACAGGAAACAGCTGATGATGTAAATTTTTCTTTTGGATGTTCTTTTGCCCAACTGTCTGCACTTTGGGAAGTGCTGGGGATGGCAGGTGAGTCCCTATGAGGAGGGAGTGCATCTCCAGCTAAATACTGAAATGTCCTCAGCTCTGGTACAGCAACTTCTGGGTTAAACCAAACCCACCAATCTCTGATCATGGGGCAGAAAAGGGAGGGGGAATATAAAGACAAGCTTTCAACCAAAAGTAAATTAATTGGGAGTATTTTGCTAGCAAGCACAATACTAAATATGATATAAAACTGAGCTTTAAAAACCCAAGCAAGAGTTGAAATTACAGGGAAATGTTAAGCATTTCTTTCTGACAACGAGCCAATAGCATCACTGCAGTCAGAATGATTTCTAAACCACAAAAAAGCTTTTGATTTTTTTCTTCTTCAATTCTCTCAGGCCATTAACTGTCTCAGCCAATGGTTCCATTAAGTGATGTTACACAGCAGAGGTTTTAACTGTGGCTGCTCACACAGTGGCTGTTGGTCCTTTCCAGTGTGTTGCCCTTCCCTGCCTGTGCCTCAGCTACAGAGAATTTCAGAGAATCATGGAATTATTAAGGTTGGAAAAGACCTTTAAGATCATTAAGTCCAATTGTCAACCCAGAACCACCACTGTGTTCACCACTAACCCACATCCCCAAGTGCCACATCCACACGTTTTCTGAACACTTCCAGGGATGGTGACTCCACCACTTCCCTGGGCAGCCTGGTCCAAAGCTTTACAACCCTTTCCATGAAGAAATTTTTCCTAATAGTGAATCTAAACCTCCCCTGGTGTGCAAGTTCCCAACACCACTGGGATTTGGAGGGAAGTGGCTCTTCAGGGAGCTGCTTCAGTGCTTCCCTCTCACTAATTAGCCCACAAATGAATGTTTAGAGTTTAGGCCAGGCTTAAGCACCTGCCTAAACGAGGCTGACACTGGGTGACATGGGTGAACTCACCCTGGTCAGTCCCTGCTTGTGGTCAATTTACCAAACATCAGCTAAATAGCCCCAGATTTAATTCTCCTCCTATTTCTGTGCATTGGGGGCTCTTGGTGGAGCTCCTCCTGCTCTACACATGCAGTGACTGAGCACATTTGGGCTGTGTGACTTTTATCAGCACTTCATCAGTCCTTGGGCTGAGGAGGGGGAATGGGAATGGCTGAAGGTCCTGCTGGGCCTGGAAGGCTGGAAACTGTGAAAAGTGAGACAAATGACAGGCAGAGTGTCACAGTTAATACAGAACAACTCCTTTTTCTCAATGTCAGCTGGGAAGTGACCTTCAGAGAAACCAATTTATTCCTGCATCCAGCTCCCTGGAGAGCTGTCCTGTTAGGGCTGGAGCAGTGTGGCTTTGAGACAACCCATCCCAGAAAGAGGAGGACAAACTGCCTGGAAATTCATCTCCTCAGACCACTGAACTCACTTGTGTTCGTGGTTTGCTTCATTTCAGCTCAAAACACTGATTTGTTTTCACAGCTCAGAGGAAAATCAGGGTGTCAGCTGGATTTTAAAGAGTTCCTTTTGATATTTCCCATAGGAAAGGCAGGATGTTTTATCAGAGAGAGGTGATGAGAGAGATGAATATTAGTAAAGAATTTCATCCTGCCAGTCTGGGGAAAGCAGATGACAACTCAGGGGGAACTTTAGAGACTTTGCACCAACACTACAAGTGCATAATAAAAACAGGATTAAACTCAGTCTAAGAGGTCTGTTTGTCCTTATTGCAGAGCTCAGCTCTGTCCTGAGAGCAGTAATTTAGATTATTTCAGCTGTGCATGTGCTCTAAAGTCCTTACTTGTGGTGAAAACAGTCTGGATTGTTTTGCTCCTCAGGGATCCACTTAAGGCCTGGAGCTTCACTGTGTACTGGGTGGATGGGCTCAGCTCTGCCAGGCTGTAGGAAGTTGTCTCAGGATTTAGGATGACTTCCTAGGGAGAGGAAAAATAATACAGAGAGACCTCAGAGAATAAAAAAAAAAAGCATAATGACCAGAATGGTTACATATTTTAGGCTGTCACATCACTTTTTGTGGCAATTATTTATGGTATTTTTAACCATCTAGGTTAATTAGCACAAAACTATCAATACAAAACTATTAATACACACTTCTTCCTGTGAGATTTTTATCAAGCTGACTTTCCCTAAAAGTTCAATAGAAGTTGCCTGGAAATGAGTCTTCCCCATCATAATGCACGAGCTGTGTGGTTTAAAAGCAAGGCAGCAGGAATGTTTACATGCTTTTAACATGCAAACTCATAAAAAATTTGGGAAGAATCATCCTTTAGAACAAGGAAATGTTACACTCCAGTCTTCCAAAGGCTGTTTTTCTGTCACAGTGAAAGACTGATGTGCAGGGAATTTGCCTTCCTGGAATTCAGAACTGTCTCTGATACACCAGGCTGAGCATCCAAAATTGGGTGTATTTTTCCTTGGAATTCACCTGGTTCATATTTAAGCACTTGGTGTAATCTAATTATGTAGGAACAGAATAAAATCATTGGAGAACAAGAGGCACTTCCAAAGGTGATTCATCCTGCCTTAGAAGACCCCAGGGATGGATCCTCCTGAGATTAGAAAGGGGAATGCCATCCTCTGGGGTGTGTGAGTTTGTTCCATGACACAGGTTTGGAATGAGGGAAAACCCTTGTTTGTGCTTTTATCTGCATTGTGGAGAGATGAGTGTCAAAATTCAGCTCCTGTTCCAGGGAATAATGTAGGAAAGTACTTAAGCAGGTTCTAAATGCATTTGTGTTCAGTCTGGCCCTGAAAGAGGTAATTAGCATTTTACTGTATTTAATTTAAGGCACATGATTATATCCTATTGCTGGACACTTCAGAATATCTCTGCTGCCCAGTTTTGAGGCAAAACCCCTCTGGTTTGGTTGCCAGTGCTGTACCTTGACTCTGCCATCAATGGACTCGTAAATCAGGAGATACCCAGTGACTGGAGCACGGGGAGGCCTCCAAGACATCAGAGCTGTTTCTGACTGAACCTCAGTGGCACTTAAATCTCTTGGAGCATCCAGACCTGGGGGAGACACCAGAGCAATCACAGTCACATCTCTAAGGAACTAAACACACTGACTCTCTTATGGGCAGCATATTCAAACAGGCCAGGAAAGCAAACATTTCCTCCCCAGAAATTTGAAATTAAAAACATTTCAGTGTAAACTTGGTGCTTCAAAAGCGATTTTGCCATTGGGGGGGTTAAACATAAAGGTATTTACTGTATCTAAGTAAATATATTGGTTTGTCCCAGGCCTTTAATTTTATAAGCAGTTGCATGGAAGTGTTTTTGGAAACAAAGTTGTGCATTTCATTATTTCACACAAGAAGACTGATTGGTATTGATATATAAACAAATACGTTGTACTTATATAAATATATAAATTATACACAAATATAGATTTATATAATATATACTATACATAATATTATTAAATATTACATATTATATACTATACAAATATAACATATTTATATACTATATACTATAAATATGTAATATATACATATACATTATATACATGTGTATTATATACATATATATTATATATATTACATATATTGTACATATATTGTATATATATTGTATGTATATACAATATATGTACAATATATAATATAATATATATACAATATATGGTATATATATTTTATTACAATATATATACAATATATGTACAATATACATAATATATATAATATATATGTATATAATATAAATGTATATATTTTATATTTTATATTTTATATATCTATTGTATACTATATATTGTATACTATATATATAATATAGTATATATATTGTATATATATTATATAAATATATATAATATATTGTATATATTTATATAGAGAATACATAAATAAAATTAAATGAAATTAAATAAAACTTTGGTACTAATGATGACTCTTTTGAAGATGAAAACTTTTCATACTTGGTCTGGCTACACATTCCCTTCTCCACTGTGATTATAACTCTCGACTGGGGTGGTTCAGCTTCTGGCTCTCAATTTAATGCCCTGGGACAAGCCAAGTACAGTCAGGAAAATGAGGAATATCCATGATTTCATTGATGCTCATGGAAAACCAGCTGGGCACCTTCAACACTGGCACCCCAGAGAAAAGCTCCTGCTTTGTGTGAGAGTCTCTAAAGTTGGTGACACAGAACCACCTCTGGGCTTCCACCAGAGCAAACAAGATGCAAACGCTGCCAACACCCAGGTTTGCAGTGAAAAAAGCACAATGTGCTGCCTGACTTGACCCAAGCAGAGGCAGGTGGGACTGGCAGAGGTGGCAGCTGTCCCTGCAGGAGGTGGGACTGGCAGAGGTGTCAGGGGGTTGGGACACACCCGTGGTGAACTGTGTGGAGAGGGTCTCGCTCCTCTGCGCGTCCTTCAGCGCGTGGACGCTCAGCGTGTACTCGGTGGCAGGCTGCAGGCCCTTCAGGTCATACTCCACAGTGTTCCCTGACACCATCTGGGTGACTTCTGGCTCTGAGAAGAAAACACAGAAGAGATGAAGAGAAGAAAATGAGAAGAGAAGCATCATTCAGACATTCACGCCGTGCTCAGCTCTGCTGGTTTGTTCACTGATTTGTGTTTTTACTGGCTGGGTGCAATTGCAAAATAGTAAAAGCCCGGAGCCCAGCTCTGTGCTGACACCTCTGCTGGCTCTGAATTAACACCAGAGACCTTTATCCAAAAGTATGAGCACTCTCTAGTGTTCACAGGAATTATAACACCACCTTTGCTTTGCAGGAATCTCACTACTCTCTGTTTGTGGCTGAATTGAAAGTGCTCAACAAAAACGAGTGTTTTTAAAATGCTCCCAGCAAGGCACCTCCTTCAAATAACAGCCCCCTGTCATCTGGCCATGGCCCCAAGGCTGCCAAAGCTCAAGAAGTGTTTGAACAACACTCTCAGGGACAGAGTGGCATTGTTGGGGTGCCCTGGGCAGGGCCAGGAGTTGGACTGGATGATCCTGGAGGATCCCTTCCAACTCAGGATATGCTGTGATTCTCTGATCTTCCTGGCACCTACTCCTGAGCACACTTTGAGAGCTGGAACCCTTATCTCCCCAGCCACCCCTGACTCTTCTCACCTTCCTCAGAAGCATAGGACACCACATAATTATCCACAGCAGCAATTGCTGGCTGCCAGGTTGCCAGAGCCTCAGAGTCGGTGATGTTCACCACCACCAGGCCTGAGGGGCTGTCCAGAGCTGGAAAAAAAAAAACAGATTGAAGAAATCTGACAAATAGTCTCGAGTTTGTTGTAAATATATGGTGGAAAATGCCTTGGTGCAGCTTTTATGATCCCCTTTGGAATTGTGCAGCTCATCGGGGCAGACGTCAGTGTCTATAAAGAGACACCAAAAGCCTCCACTGGAAAGGGAGGTCGATGCTTGGGGAGATGAAACACTGGGAACAGAGAGAACTAACCATGTTCTCAGATCAGCCTCAATACCATCAATCTCAACAGCTCTGTCAGTGCTGACGTATTTCTCTCCACACTCTCAAATCTGGGCTGTTTTTGGAGCAAACTCAGGAGACAGAGCTGGGAAAAATAACTAAAGTGACAATAACTGATGGCCACTGTGACCTTCCAGCAGCTTGCTCTGCAAGTTTGAAATAAATCAATCCCACAGCCTGCCAACCACCCAAAACCCCCCCATGTCCTGCCTTGACTCCTTGTGAGACTCTATTTTTCCCGTGGGTTTATGCTCTCCCAGAATTAGGATGGATCTCTACCTCCAGTACACCTGGAATGGGCTACAAATCTCCTGTTATTTTCTGACACTCATCATTTTGCTCCTTGCTTCAGTTCTCTGGATGTTTGTTAAACCCCCAAAAATAAAGAATGAAGGGTGCAGGGAGGGGTCAACAGGAGCAGAGTGGAGCCTCATTTCCAGCAGGGATATTTAAAGTTTCATTGAATTAAAAAAAACAGGAGAGAGAATGTTTTTATGCTTAAAACAGGCTGGAACACGGGAGATGTGGATTTGACTCCACAGCAGAAACCGGTCTCATGGTTGTTCCCTCATCTCAAAAATGGCATTAATTAAACTGCTGGGGTTTTTTTTTCTGCTGAATTAGGGCTGTAAATACATGAATTGTATTCCAACAAGTTGGTTTAGGACTTAGGAGGTGGGAGCCTGATCAAACTTACAGGTTCTACGCTCATCTAAAATGCAAAGGCACAAGGGAGGAGCGGGCAAGAAGCTTCTCAGGGTTTGTGTGGGCAGCAAAAATGGGATCTCAGTGGGTCTGTGGGTGAGACATTTGAAAACCTGCTATTTCCTCCTTCTGGATTACCTGTTTTCAGGATGCCAGAGATGGGTTCACTCTCCTCAAAGCCTTTCACAGAGATGATGCTGACATTGTAATCCACACCCGGCACCAACTTCACCAGCTTGGTCCTTGTCTTGCTTCCATCGACTGTAACAACATTTGGAGTTCCTGGGAAGAGGCCAAATGCCAAGGGATTAGTGACACAACACTCCAGGAAAAGCTTGAAGGATGTGTTTCTAGGTAAAGACATTATGCCCTTGTACAGGAAGAGGAGACTTTTCCCAGTTAGTTACAATCACTGATGTCCAAGAGCAGCCTCAGGGCAAAACACTGATGCAATAACACCCAAATCTAAGAAATTGGTTTGTGTTCAGGAAGAAAAAAGTGACATTTCTAGTGGAAGGTATCTCTGCCCATGGCAGGGAGTTGAATGAGATGAGCTTTAAGGTCCCTTCCAGCCCAAACCAGTTTGTGATTTCAGGATTTCTGTTCGGAAAAATCTAATTTCAAAAGCAAGGTGTAAGAAGAAAACACAGCACTCTCCACATGGAAGTTCAAGCACCTGCAAGGACAGGACTCGAAGTTTAGACCTGCTTTGTTTCTGATAAGGGCTGGACATTTCCCCTTTACCCAATTCATTTTGAATAAGGATATACCATATAGTATTTTAAGAGGTGCTGTATGTGTGGTGAAGACTCCAGGACACATATTTATTTCAAATTCTGGGTTTATTCCAGGGAAGCACTTAGACAAGTGCCCAACTCTATGACTGTAGATTCCTTTTCTTCTGTGGAACAACTATATATTTAAGATTAAACATGTGCTTATAGTTTGTATTGTCTGAGGGCATAAATCTTTAATTGTCTCTGTCAACAGCATGACCATTTTTTTCCTGACATCTCTAGTGTTTGTTCTTTAGCTGTTTCCTTTTAGAGATGTCCCTAAATTATGCTAAAAATCGGTTTAAGTTTAGGAAGTTTTTAAAGTTGAACACTAAACCAGAGCTATAATGGGTGAGATGAGACAACCCTGAGGAGCACTAAGTAAAATCACTGCGCTGGAAAACTCTTATAACCACGGATTATGATTTCCAAGGGCCATCTTTTCCAATCTGCTCAGCTCATAAAGTGCCTGAAAAATAATGAGACAGTTTGGAACCAGGAGGAGGCTCAGACAGAGACATTTTAGGAGTACAACCATTCCAGCACCTCCCTCTGAGCTCCCTCACCAGCCTTGTCCATGGGATGGGGGCACTGCTGGTTACACACCCACCCTCCTGGGGTGCAGGGAAAAGAGGTGATCTGTGTAAAATCCTTTGGGATGTGCACTGAGAGGGGGATGGCAGCACAGCAAACCCTTTTTGCTCCCCCTCTTGCCTCGCTGCCCCTCCTCAGGGTCACTCACCTCCCGTGACGGGGACGTAGGAGATCCTGAAGGTGTCCACACGGGAGCGGGGGGGGGTCCAGCTCACTGTGGCAGCGTTTTCCGTGATGTCCGAGAAAGAAATTCCCTTGGGAGACCCCACGACTGTCAGAGGAGAACACACCACACAGAAAGAGAAGGTAAAACGTTTGTTCACCACTCCTCAGTGCTGGAATACTGATTTGTCTCATCCCTCCATCCCAAGAGCTCCGAAATTCTGTCCTAAACAACACCAATGCAGGGAGCACCAAACTGGTCATGGTTTTATCACAGCAATAAGTTGTTTGGTCTAAATTCTCCTGTTTTCAGGACCATTGCAGCAGTGCAGAACTCAAAAATACAACTTTATTACAGCAATAACTTGTTTGGTCTAAATTCTCCTGTTTTCAGGACCATTGCAGCAGTACCTAACTTCAAAATACAACATGTACCTACGTAAAAGTAACAGAGATTTCAGTGTTAGAACAAAACATGGAGGAACATGTACAGAAATGCCATTCTATTACCCAGGAAATACTGTATTTAAGTGCTTTTTCTACCTCAGTTTCACTTGGATCATTTTTAGACCTTCCATTGAGTCCCAGAGCTGAAATTTTACCAAAATGACCCAAACTTAAGATGAAAGCAACACATATCTGAAATATTCCACTTTGAGGCCTAATTAAGCTCCTCTAAAACAAGCATGGAAAGGGCTTCTGGAAGGATGTGGTGGAGGGACCTGTCACTCCAAGGTTTACATTTACACTTCCAAACTTTCCAGCTTTTTTGGCTGTAACCAAAACAACCCCGATGTGTTAAAAAAAATTAAATAGCACACACAGAGCAGCACAAAGAGGAGAGATACCAAACATCAGCCATGTTAAGAGGAGTGGAGACAGGCTGAGGGCAGGGGAAGGGGGGCAAGAGGAGGGGAAGAAAAGGGACTGTGCTGGAAATAGCTTGGAAAGAACGTGTCTGAGGGAAAGAGTCAGAGGGCTGTTTGTTCCATGTGTCCCCAAAGCTCCAGCAGCCTTGCACTAAATCAGCTGGAAGGCAAGGAAACAAAAACAACTGAGCTCTGCAGAGAAATGTAAATTATTCCTCTGGAGCTCAGCAGACATGTTGTGTTTGTGGGGTTTGCTCACGTGGAAAAGCCAAGGGAAGAAAAGAATTAAAGATAACAAAGCAAGGTGGGGCTGGAAAGGCTACAGGGCACACAAAGGTGCTCCTGTTTGAAGGGCAGTCTGAAGGAAACTGAAGAGCAAAAAGAAAAACTGAGCGAGAGAGAGAAGTGAAAATCACATTGATTTGGCTTCACATTAGAGGTGCCCTGAGTGGCTGAAGAAAAGTGCTCTTTGGAGATCAAAGAGATGGACCAGCACTCGATTTTCACACACATGGGGAATTCCAGCCTTTCCCAGGACATAAAATAACCAATCCATCCCACTTGGACTCTGCTGGGAACAATTCCACGGAGCTCATGAGTGTTTTCTGTACCAGGTGCATAACAAACAGTGGTAAGAAGAGCTTTGACTATGTGAGTTTTCCACAAACAGCAGCAACTTTCCTGGGAGAGAACCTGGCAAAAACCAGTCCATTAATGGACCATCAGAGCATCAGTCTTGGAATGAGTCCCAGAGATGTAAGAGAGCAGTACCTTTGAGCACAGAGAAATGAAAAAGAAGCAAAGAAAATCATCTTCTTGAGCTACCTGAAAGCCAAAATGAAGCAGGCAGAGAAAATGGCCAGTGTGCTTCTGGTTTGTCACTCATAGAGGACCTCAGCTCATCTGTTGGGCAGGTACAGGTAATTAATTACCTTTATCCTCCAGCATCATTCTCCCAGAGCTGTATGAGAGACAGAACCTTCCTGGGAGGCTGCTAAAGCCCCCATGGCTGTTATTCATCAGGAATGGGGTTTGTTAATTGTTCTTTCATTCCCAACAAAGTAGAGTTTGCTGTTCACTGGCTTTCTTCTCCCAAGCAGCAGGAAGCAGCAGGTTGCATTTATCATGTATAAAGAGCATGTGAATTGCTCTGGGATCACCTCAGATGAAAAATGCTGTCACAGTGTGGCAAACCATCATCAGGAGAATAGGAAAGTAGCAGCATGAAACCCATATTTCCCACAGAGGATATGAAGTGGCCCACAGCTGGGCTGTGGTCCCAAGTGGGGGATGAAATGCACTTTAACTGACATTTTACAGAGGGATTTCTGAAAGACACCAACTGAGAGCAAATCCCCCTTTGCCACCTTGGTCAGACCCTGCAGGTCTGTGTGCTGCTGCCTTGCACTGCAGTGATTTTACAATGTTTTACATCACAGGACTGATGAAGGTAAAATGCCAGGCTGCTGCAGAGGGCAGGGACAGTGGGTATCATCAGCACCCTAAAGAGGATTATTGTCAGCAGCTCTGGGGGGAAACTGTTGCTGTTCACTTTTACACACGAGTCAATTATGGAGGAAGAACTCCTTGTGATGGGTGTGGGAAGACATTTATTGTCAGCTCCCATTCCTAGTGTTTTCCCATCACATTCCTGGTGTGATGGGAGGAAAGGAGATCATCTCAGCCTCCAAGCAAGGTACCAGCTGCAGGACCAACACAGGATACATAGAAAAATGCTATTTTACTATCTTCTCTACTAAAGCTAAAGATTTTCTAGCTGATTTATTCCTTGCTCACTTCTACAAAGGCCAGAATCAAGTGTGGCTGAATACAAGCCTGTTTGAATTACCCCTTCAGGGCTGGAAATATTTCTTTGCAACCACACTGGAAATGCTATAAATATACATATGTTCGTGCAATAATCAACTCCTAAAAAAGAAATTAGTTAGATGCCTTGGCAGCCCAACCACCCAAATGTGGTGTAACCTGCAGTGTGAATTATTGAGCTGGATTTTTGTGGCTCCAGCTCTATTGTCAATTATCCGTGGGCTGTTTCCAGCTGACAAACATCTTTTGGGCTATTGGCTTCAGGAGGTGCCATAAATCTCCCTGAAAGAAGTGAATAAGAATGTAGTCATGAGGAACATGATAACTCTTGGTTTACCATAAATATCCTGGAAGTCAGGGAACATGGGGACATGGTGCTCCCAAGTGCAGTGGACTTTAAACATCCCTCTCCATTAGGAGTCCAGCTGCAGGAGCCCAGAGAGCAGAGGTTTGTGAGGGATGCAGGTCCTGCTTCCTGTAAATGTCTGGGTGAGTGAGTGTGTGCCCTGGCTGTTCATCCAAGGGATGTGATGGCACTCAGAGGAGCTGGGCACAAATGTGCCTTTCTGTGCTGGCCTCAGAATCAGGGGGAAGCAGGAGGCTGTTTCAGGAAAAGCTGTTCAACACTGAGCTGTTGCTGCCCTTTCCCTGGGTGCTACCTGGAGTTCTGGTACAGCTGGGAAAATACCCCTTTTAGGGATTCCTGTTGGTTTCCTCACACACTAAACTTTGAACTTAGAACCACATCCTGACTTGGAAGGGACTCACCAGTATCATCCAGTCCAACACCTGGCCCTGCCCAGAACACCCCAACAATTCCACTCTGTCTATCAGAGCATTGTCCAAACCCTCCTGGAGCTCTGGCAGCCTTGGAGCTGTGCCCACTGCCCTGGGGAGCCTGGTCAGTGCCAACCACCCTCTGGGAGAAGAACCTTTGCCTGAGATCCAACCTGACCCTGCCCTGACACAGCTCCAGCCATTCCCTGGGTGCTGTCACTGCTCACTCAGAGCAGAGCTCAGAGCTGCCCCTTGTGAGGAAGTTGCAGACCCTGGCAAGGTCTCCCCTCAGAGACTTGTCCCCTTCCTGTCCCCTCCTCCTGGAATGAAGCAGATTTGAAATAACCACTTTTTCGTATCAGCAAGCTCAGAATTTTTAAAAGAGTGAATTTGGCTCATGGGACACGGATTCATTTGCTTTAGGTTTAAATATGTTTCAAAATGAAACCATGACTTTGGTGGGGAAAAAAAAAAAGCACTTCATTCTTACGTGCCAAAATAAAATGCTTCAATTATGAACCCAAATCAGAGCTTTTAGATATTGCCAGAAACTCAAGTCAATTTGAATTATTGAGCACATGTTGCTACTGGTAAGATCAGTTCTAAGTTAATGGTGCTTAGGCCTTTGCTGATCAAGGCATAAATAAAATTTCTCAGTGGCTCTGGTAAATTCATTTTGTCATAATTCTTTTCTAGGGAGGTAAATTGTTGTGCAGTGCTGAGATGTAATTAGCCACAGGAAATCGCTGAAAAAGGCTGATGCAGAGACAATATTTCTTGGCCCTCAAAGACAGCGCTTTAACTGCCAGACTCTGCTGCCTAATTCCAGATCATGAAAGTAATTCAATTAAACCATATTAAATAGACAGTGATGAAGCTGCAGAATCTGAGACTGGTTATAAACAACCACATTGAGCCAGTGGACAAGAGATATGCAGGAGACAGCTCAGGAACAGCACGAGCTGGCTGTGAAAATGAGAGGTGCTGAAAAGAACAGGAATTAATGGGTCACACTTTTCCTACTGCAAAGACAATACCTGTGGTTGCTACTGCATTTACAGGCTGGGAACGTTGTCCACTGCTAAGTCCATAGAGCTCAATCTCGTACTCAGTACCCTCTTTGAGCCCTGTTATGTCCTGGGTGCGCTCGTGGCCTGGGATTATCAGCTCCAGTGGGTCGGATTTCCTCTTGGTATCCCTGATTTTTAGAACAAAACTGTTGAAAACCCCATCATCTGCAGTCCAGGAGAGGCGGAATCCATCCGGGGTGGCATCTGAAACCAGCAGGTTGTCGACCTCGGGTTCTGCTTCTAAAAAAAGGAGGAGATAGCAGCAGGGAGAAGAAATGGAGGTTTAATGAGTTGATCAGAGACCTGCCTGAGGCCTGGCTATAGCACACTGCAAGAATCCAACCACAGTTCAAAGCAAGGGAAACAATCTGCCAGCTAGTGAAAAAAAAATAAAATAAAAGAGATTATTAGTGTTATAAACATACCAAAGGGGATAAATGTGAGTGTGGGCAGGCCCATTCCAGCTTTCACTCTCCAACAGCAAATCCACTGCATGGACATACAACCTTTGTCTCCAACATGCAAAGTTACACATGCTAATGGTGCATTTTTCCCTCCCTACCTATGTGACACCTTCATGTACAATAAAAACAAGCTTGTTATAGAACTGCAGGCATGCCTGGAACACTGTCAGGCCTCTCTCTGTTAGAACGACACAGAAGCCACTGGAAAGAGTCTTTTTCTCCATGCAAACCCCTTGTTTCATGCACTTCTGGCATCTGTGATGCTTCTGGTCAGATGAGTCCTTTGCTGTTAAACAACTGCTGAAGCAGCAAAGGGGAATCATGAAAATCCACATCCCTCACACAGCACACTTCAATCCAAATGCAAGACCTACTGTCTTTAGTGAATGAACCCACTCAAAAGGATCCCAGGAGCCGTAAAATATTAATTACCTGCAAAACATCTTTAACTCAATGTGCTCAGGCCTCATTACCTAGAGAAATGCTGCTGGAGCTGCTCCTGTCTTACAGCATCTCCAGTGCAATTCCTCCTTCCACAGACAGACATTCCTCTTTATTTTCTCACAAACCTCCAAGCAGATAACCCCCAGCTTTACTGCTGCACGTGCACATGAGAACTGATGGCTATGGGGCCAGAGGATCTGCAAGGATTTTCCAAGGAAGCTCAAGTGCTGCTGGAAAACAGCAGCTCTGATGTGGCTGGAAATGAGCTGTTGTGTGGAGAGAGATGCCAACTTTACGGGTGGCAACGACCACACTCGACAGGCTGTGGGTGGAACCCACACAGAGAGGGAAAGGAAGGAGGCCATGGCAAGAGATCCATGGCCTCCTGAAGGTCCTGATGGTTGGCAGGTTGGAGGATGCTGATGTTGTTGGAGAATGCTGATGTGCCCAGCAGCTGCTAACAAGAGGAGCTCCTGTTCTTGTTAACGAGACATGCAGCCATTCTTCTTGAAAGACTTCGGTTAGAAGGACCTGCAAGACCAGACACTTTCACCCCTCAAGCCCCAACATGCTCCTCTACAGGATCCCTCATCAAATCGAAAGGAAAACAAGTTAAAAGGACCAGAGTTCCCCTGGTGCACCTGCCAGTCCCGAGGGGTTACGTGGAGCCACGATGCAGAGAAGGATGCAAAAGCCAAGGTTTGCTTTGCAAATGGATGGCACGAAACGTCTCCCACGGGAGAAGGAAAGCAAGAGAGGGTGGAGGAGAACAATTTGTTCATATCAAAATACCTGTGACAGCCAAAGCGCTCAGGGGCTTTGTTTGGTGCCCCTTGGCAAAGCCATAAAGCACAACCTCATAGCCAATGCCAGTTATGAGGCCTTTTAGCTTCAGTTGGCGCTGGGCTCCTGAAAGGAGGAACTCCTGGGGGTCCAGCAGCTTGCCAGAGTCCACCACGACCACTAGAAAGCTGTCAAAGGCATTCTCCGATGCCATCCACGACACTGTGAACCCATAGGGGTTAATGTCAGACACAGTGAGGTTTCCCAGTGGGGGCATGGCCTCTGAAAGAAGGGAAGGTGCAAAAACACACACACACACAAAAAAAAAAAAAAGAAGTGAAAAATATCGTGAATTAGAAAGTGTCACAGGTTCCACCAAGCAAAACACCACATTTTCCCCCAAAGCATGGATTGAATAGAAGTGCAGAGCCAGGATCACAGGATGAGGATTTTCAATGGAGTCTCCACTTAGATGCTCAATTTTTCATTTTCATCAAGGGTGTCTCAGCACCTCAACTCAAGCTCCATTGAAATTCCTTCCAAGCTCATTTCTCCTGTTAACATGCACTGGGAGACAGTTATAACCAAAACTGCCTTAGAAATGCTGTACAAAATCTTTCATGTCCTTCCACTTATCTCTGCCATCAGTGCTTCAGGGACAAGTCTCAACTTTGGCACTCACAGCTCCTGTATTTTGCTCCTTTACCTCTCTACTTCACATGAATATCCCCAGCTTTAATTTTCAGTGGTGGAGGGGTCAGAGATGCCAGAAGCAGGACATTAATCTGTCAGGGTCATACCTAGTGGGGCATGTTGACAACTTAAAGAAATTCCAGTGAGGGTTTTTTTAATTTTCACATCAGCATGACTTTAGTCAAAGGTAAAAGACAGGGATCAACTCTTCAAAGTTGATCCACCAAGACTCAGGGAAAAAAAAAGGCTGAAATTTCACAAGATTCTCAATGTATTTTTCTCACTCAAAATCTGACAGGTCAAATAGGAAGATCAACTTGCTCTGCTAAGCCCTGGCCTTGATCCTGCAGCCCAGGCATTGCTTGTGTTTCTTTACACTGTTTGTCAAACCTGCTCTGTTGGCTCAGGATCTGACTCATCCCATCTTCCAACCACTCAAATTCCACTCACTTAAGAAAATACCAGTTAGTTAAAGACAGAACCTTCTCCTGAAAAGGGCTTTGGGTTTGGTTTTCAGGTTTCACAACCACTGAAACTGATGTTGTTGGAATTTGGCATAAAAATTCCCTCCTGAAGTGTTATAATTTGGAGCTCCTCGTGTTTTAATATTTACACATTTGGGTGCCAGAGATTCAGCTCGAATTCACTCAGTTTTGAGATGTTTTTGCATCTTAATCACTTATAATGAAGCAATCCCAAAGACTCACAGTTTGGGTTTGTCTCTGGGAGGGTGGGTAAACAAATACTGAGCCCACACTGCTGAAATGATTTTCCTGGGATGGGTGTTGGGTGACACCAACACTCTGAACCAGCAGGTTTCTGTGAGCCACTGGCACATCCTCCTGCTGAGCAGGGTGTCCCATGTTTCCCTTGCTGTGGGAAGCCTCCTCTCCCAATCCCAGTTTTCAAACCAGTCTGTGTTTCTATGATTCTTTTCCAGTAGCACATACTGGCCACATGATTCATAGAAGGTGAACTCTGTGGTGTTTATTCACTCATTTAGGAGGCTGATCCCAGCCAAAACTCAGGTAAAAATACTCAGACATAAGGGACATGCTGAGGGGACGCCATGGGATAGAAGATCTTCTAAAATCCAGGTCTCTCTGGGATCCCTCAGGTGCAACTGCACATGCAAATTTTCCCCTCAAGCTTCAGGCATTAAAAACATTATTAGACATGTGAGAAAGACTCCAGAGGGCTCTTAATCCAGATTGGTTTGGGTTGGAAGGGACCTTAAAGATCATCTCATCCCACCTCCTGCCATGGGCATGGGCACCTCCCACTATTCCAGGTTCTCCAAGTCCTGTCCAACCTGGCCTTGGACACTTCCAGGGATGGAGAAGCCACAGCTTCTCTGGGTAACCTGTGCCAGGGCCTCCCCACCCTCCCAGGGAGGAATTCCTTCCTAATATCTCATCTGAAACATTCCCCCTTGTCCTGTTGCTCCAGGCCTTTACTCCAAGCCCCATCCAACCTGACATTTTAACTCACTTTACCCTAGTACCGCTCCCAGAAATTTATTTAAGGTCAACATGCCTGGTCTGACCCCTCCTTGCCCTAAGTTTGCAAAGAAACTGGACGAGATGCTCAGCTCTCTAGAGACCTTTCCATTATCCATAGCAGGATATTCATTTCCTCGAGCTGACAGATTCCAAAGCTTTAAGCAGGTACCTGTCAGGACAAAAGCAGTGAGGGGCTGCGTGTGAACACCTGCCCTGGTGGTGTCTTTAATGTTAATGTCATAGCCAGTGTAATTTAGGAGACCTGAGATGTGGGTGCTGAGGGTTTCCCCCGACACCGTGAGATCCCGGGGCTCCTGAGCTGCCTGGGAATCCCTAACAGGAATGACAAACTTGGCAAAGGGCCCATCTCTGGTGGTCCAGGAGAGGTTGAAGCTGTCAGGGGTAACGTTTGTGAGGGTGAGGGTGCCCAGCTGTGGCTCAGCCTCTGAGGGAGAAAGGAACACAGGTGAAGAGACAGTTACGCTGTGAGGGGCTGGGGGGATCAGCACAGGAGGTTCAGAGATGCTCAGAACTTTTTAGCCTTGCTTTGCAGTGATTGAATAATAATAATAATAATAATAAAAATAAAAAAGCATTGCAAGAGCTGCTTTGTCAGGTTTTGGAAAGAAGCCACTGAAATTAGTGCTGGCTTTAAAATTATATTTTCATTCAATTTTCTTAAATAAACTCAATTTGCCTAATGAAATGTGGGCTTGATTTACAGAAGCACCAACAGAGCACAGCTCTGTGGTTAAACCTTACAAATTACAGGAATTCCACGCTGGGGATTTGATGGGAATACAAACCCACAGCAATTCCAAAATAGATAGAGTAGATTTCAGGCAGGAATCCTTGAAATCCCAGTTCAGCTTCTGTTTAGTGTTTCTGTTGCCTGGAGTTGTAGATACTTCTATTTTTGGACCCTGAAGTTTATGAAGGGTTTCAGTCCTAACAGTGATTATCTCAGCACTAATCTCAGACCAAAACCTCCCTGGGCTCCACAGATAAGGTGTTCCTCATCCTCTAATTAGGCACAATCAGGGAATATCTGATAGTCTGAACAATAAACAGCCCTGCTGTTGCTCTCCTTTCTGACTCTTCAGTGGTCGCTTCCTTAAGAAGCCAAGACTTTGCTGCAGGAGGAAAGTCAAAATCACATCTCTCCCCTGTTAGGGGAAGAATTTTTTCTCCAGGAGTGGGAAAGCTCCTCACCCATTCTGTTTTACAGCATAAAATCATTAAAGATTCATTAAAGCACAGAGAGAGCACAAACACGACCCAGCAGTCAGATGGTCAGAGAATCCTGTGGCTGCTCTCTGAGCTGAGTTATACTGTTTTTTCTTTTGCCAATTGAGTACTAACCAAGAACACCTTGGGAAATGCAGCCAGTGAGACACAGAAAAACAACTATTTAAGTGATTCATGCTGGGAGAAAAGTCAGAAAGATGCATCCCACCAACAGAGAGAATAAGGAAAGAATGAAATCTTCTTCTTAACTAAAACATGAACTGCTGCAAGATGTTCCAACTTTTACTCCTGTCCCTCATGGCAAGACTTTTAAATAATAGTCCTCCTTCTTCCCTGGAGTTTTGTAGGAAGAGGTGAGTGCAAGTGGCCCCGATTAAGGACACATGCAGAGGTCATGCTACCAACCAGTGACCATCAGTGCCTTCATGGCTGACAGAGAAGGTGTCACCATGGAAGCATGGCACTCCTGAAGATAGAGGGGATGAGAATATCCACATAGCAAACAGGGTTGAGTGGAGAGTCCATGGAAACCAGGCACGGAGCCCTCACATGCAAGTCAGAGAGGGCAAACAGAACCTTTCCAAACTCATCCTGGCACGGCCACATTCCTTCACATGCCACTTGCATCCAGTCAGGTACGTTCCCATCATGGCAACCTGACTCCAAAGAGTGCTACATGCAACACAAATTGAAGTTATCTCTTCAGGCAAGTCTTAGTGATCTCCTGCCATGTGGAATCACCACGGGAAAATCTGTGACATCCAGTGGAACAAGACAGGTCATAGAGACTCAAAGGCAGCAATGCAAGTGAGAGTGGTGGGATGACCATCAGGAAAGGGAGACCTTGCTTTTTGAGCCCTGCTCTCTTCTGGGAACACACAAAAATACTGGGCAGAGAAGAACATCAGAACCAGAACCACTCCCATGCAGTTTTGGTTGGTCATCTCACATGCTGCACGAAACTCCCACAGGAGATGCAAATGTCTTGGGAGACATTTGGTTTCAAGAAAGAAGAACAAAAATGACATGCAGGTGCCTCTCCAGGCTGAGAAAGACATGAAGGCCTCCCACCCACAGCAAGGCAAGTGAGGGTGGGATGAACAGCAACTTCATTCAGGATCAAGTGCAAAGATGCTCCACGAAAAACATCAACCACCTGGAGCAGGTCAATTATATATACACAGGACTTGCAGAGAAGTGTATATATAAGGAAACCAATCATGGTTTACCACTCTCTTAATGCTGGGGGCACTTTTTCAGCCTTTTCCATTGCCTCAGATCACTTTTTCTGAGCATTCTCAGTGTATTTCAGAGTGGTCTCCCTACAATTTACCAAAGGAACGATGATGAGTTGGAGCCACGTTTTAGAGCAGTTCGGTGGACAGCGAAAGAAAGAAGAATACAAAGCAAACCTGGAAGGTGAAACAGTGAAATACCTGTGGTTGCCAGTGCTGTCAAGGTCTGCCCACCTTGCCCATCAATTACACCATGGAGCTGGACAGTGTAATTAGTGGCAGCTTTGAGGTTGGTCACCACATAGCGCCGGGAGGCCCCCGGCACTGTGAGCACCAGGGAGTCCAAAGGGAAGTCAGAGTTCCTGACCTCTAGGATAAAATGGTCAAAGGCATTGTCCTGTGCTTCCCACGTGAGTGACAGGCTGTCTGAGGTAGCATTTGATACAGTGAGTTTGCTAAGGAGAGGTTCCTCTACTACGGGAAGAAAAACAAACGGAAATGTATCGCAATTATTAAAAGCCAAAGCAACAAAGTAAATTAATATAGAAGCTTGAATTTACATGACCAGTGGTCACAAAGGTCATCTGGCCTTGAGTTTCTCCATGTTTTTCATATCATCACCCCTGCAGTCACCCTGAACATGCCACCCATCATTCAGTGAGGATGTTCACAGTCTGCTGACGCTGGAAACTCAAACTGCATTACCTGATAGCTGAGATGTGATATTCTGCTTTCATCCACCACATTAACCTATTGCTGTGACAAATTGCCATGGCAACTTTTCCTAAGATCATGTCAGCAGGCAAAACTTGGCACAGATATTAAATGATCCCAACGTGAGCTCTTATCTGCCTACAGTGGGATTGCACCTTCTGTCCCTGCAGTACAGCCTCTCATACTGTCCTTGGCTAAAGCACACTGAATATTTGACTTCCCTGTCTTTTCTGGAAAAACTGTCAGCTGTAAGACCTCGAGCTGTGCAGTGTGCCAACAACTAAATGCCTGACTGTTCCAGTCACTGACATCAAGTCAAATGGACTTTTTCAATCTCTCATCCAATGTAAACGGAAAACACTGAAGCTGAACTCAAGCAGTGAATGTGCCTTGCAGGATCCTGCTGGCACAGACTGAAATGTGCCTGACATCTATTTAGAGACTCAGGATAAAAACTGTGTGCAGAAATCAGCTTATCTGAGACAAATAGTGTCTGCTCTGGGCTGTGTGACAGATGCAAACACACGTTGAAGGGTGAATATAATGAATCATCTCCCTCTTAGTTCTTGGGAAATGTGTTTTGCTTCTCGTCTGTCTCGGAGGTTGCCCCAACCTTAATGTTTGAACAACCTTATCGTGTGACTGAAATCACAGCACAGCGTGACTGACTGACTTTGCTGGATGGATTTTGGTGGATTAACATTTGCAAAATTCAAAAGGTCCCAGGCTGGTCTTCCTTAGAAGGTGTCAAACAATGAGGTAGAGAGTTTGGCAATGGATTGGTGGGGGAGCTGAGAGCAGGGAAAGGGGCACAACCTGTAAGGAAGAGTTAAAAAAAATGAGAGTTAGCAGCGAGGGAGGTTCATGTACCTGTTGTAGCTGCAGCACTTATTGCCTGTGTGCGGAAACCACGAGAGATCCCAGAGAGGTAGACAATGAAATCAGTGCTGGGAGAAAGCCCTGAGATATGAGCAGTCCTTGAATTGCCTGAGAGGTTGAACTCCATGGGCTCCAGCAACCTGTTAGAATCAATAATTTCAATAGTAAAGGCGTCGAAGGCCCCGTTGGTTGTCCAGGAAAGGTTGAAGCTTTCGGGAGTAATGTCGGAAACCATGAGCTCACCAACTTCGGGGTGCTCTCCTGAGGAGGGAAACAACACTGGTCAGAAGGGACAGCCCTGCACCTCCTCCTGCTGCTCAGAAATGCTCCTCTCTGCCCATGCTGGCAGCACTCCAAGCTGGACAACGGGGTGTGTGAGTAAAAGCTTGCTACAAGCAGATGGGTACTAGGGGGAAGAAATCAAATGAAAGCAGCACAAACTGTTAAATAAGACTAAAAAATAAAGTAAGCTTTAAAGCCATGGCTGTTCCCCTTATCTGCAGGAGCAGCCATACATCTTTGAGGTCTGAGCACGAAAGCAGATGCAAAAAATACTTCTCTGAATCCATTTGGAAAAGTCAGCTCCCAGTTTTAGGAGAAGGTAAAACTGGAGGTATTGCTTTATCCAAAGGAAAGGGTTGGGTTTTGTTTGCTACTTCCCCTTTCAGGTTAAGCCAATGAAAGCTCGTTTGTAATTTTGGAGCTGGAGCCAACATGCAAAACAGGGATAGCTGCCTTGGGGTTTCCTCCTCTCTGTGGACATCCCTGTAGAGCCACAGGAAGGGGCAGAAAATTCTGACAATTGGAAGGCCCTAGAAGGGAAAATTTTGAAAAGCCTGGTGCTGAGCAGACCCAGAAAGGGAAGGGAAAACCTCAGCGGGGCATCCTCTGCTGTTTTCACTGGTTTAAGAGAAAGAGAGCACATTGCAGATTTAAGCAGGACACCCATGACGTCTGCTCCCTTGTTTTTCCAGCCAGGCTGGTCTGTTTTCAGTGGGAATCTGCCACCAGCTCCCATTCAGAACCCTCAAAGCACAACACTTCTAGTGGGACACAGCCCAAGGCAAGAGCCCGGTGCCAGACACATTTCTGCCTAAAGCACTGTTGGAACCATCAAGCTCTGCTGCATCTCACGTTTTAATTCTGATTAGTTCTTACATGGACTTTCATCCCCTTCTGGGCTGGGTGATATGTGCTTGGAAATCAAGCATGAGCCAGTTCTGGCTACCTCACAATGACAGGAGGTTGCCAAGGTCTGCAAGGAAGCTCAGAGGCAGCAGATGTTGTCTACAAGAAATTATCTGAAGGAAGAGCCACTGGTGCTCCTTTAGTGCCAATTAATACATACTCTGTTCATTACCCATGATCAGAACACCAGGAAGGAGCAGTGAGCCACGAGGATAAATGGAAGTAGATATTTACCTCTCACAGTCCAAGCTCTCATTTAAAACTGCTGCCTTTCACAGGAACAGCCAGGAAATTATTTTTGTGGCTCTTGGTGAGCTTCAGGCAACATTCTGATAACAGAAGGATGGCCTTCCTTCTTTCAGGTTAGTTTTATACCAGGGTAGTTCTGAATTTGATCTTCTTGCATTATATTTGTTTCAGCCCAATCAGACTGTTTAATGACCTTAGATGACTTGATATATGATACTACTCTTGCTAAGAATTAATTAGTGTCCTTTTCTATATGAGGACACGTAGAAGATGTTTGTCCTTGCCCTTGAGGCAGATACACACACTATGCCCCCCTGAGTTCAAATTTACACAGAAGCTACTGCATAATTTCAGAGGAAGCTTCTGAAGGAAAAAAAAACTAAACACACTCCCTGGCTTTGATAATCTGGGCTGTAGAGAAAGGATTTTTATAATTTTACCAGGCAACCTGGGCTTTTCCAAGCATGTACAACAGCCAGCTGGGTTTGGTGTTAGTGCCAACCAGCAGGTAAGTGAGCAAAGGGAACACAACAAGACATTCTTAGCTGGGAAGAGGGAAAGCATTCCTACAGGGGAAGGGCTGCACGAGGGCACTGACACTCCTGCTGGAAAGTCTGACCCTGAGACATTTCCATGCCAGAGATGTTCAGCCAAGCTTTAAGGAGCTCAGTGCCCCCCATGCAAAGCCAGCCAGCAGCTGGAATAGCTCTGGCTCCCATCCCTGTCTGGGAAGAACACGGGACTGGAGGAGCGACTCGGAGAGATACCTGTGGTGGTCTCAACAGAAAGAGGGGTGGTCCTGCGGCCTCTGATCACCCCATGGAGTGTGATGTTATAGGGGGTGTTGGCCCTGAGGCCTGTGACATTCCCAGAGCGCAGTCCCCCCGGGACTGTGACATTCCAGCTCTCCTCGGGGTTCCCAGCCTCCTGCACCTGAATGACAAAGCTCTCATAGGCCCCGTCGTCTGCTGTCCAGGTGAGCTGGAAACCATCCCAGCCAGCCTTGGAGACTGACAGCTTTCCAAGCTCGGGTTCCTCCTCTGAATAAGGACAGAGAGTCAATCTGTTACTCGGGTTACAGGGCAGGGGTGATGTCCTACTCTTTAATGATCTTCTGGGTTACTGGATTCCACAGAGATGCCCTCACACACATTTACATTCTCAGCTGCCCCAGATAACTGTGAGTTAAGTCTCTCTGGAGAGAACTACAAGTAAAGTCTCTTTAGAGACATGGCAAAACAGAAAAGCAAGAAAAGAACTGTAATAATAAATATTACCCACGTTAATACTAAAAGACTGCTCACAGAAACCATCTTACACCTGCCAGTGTTTTGCCAACATTAATAACAACTCCCTATGAGACAAATATTACTGTAATCACTCTGCTACACTCCTAACAACTCAATGTTTGCCATTCTGAAGTAACTGTGGTGTCAGGACAGGAAGACACTGAGTTTAGAGCAGTTGGGATTCAGATGTTTATGTTTTTAATTGTGTCCACATGAATGATGCTGTTTATGCTTCCAAACTATTTCTATTACAAAACAATAAAGAGGAGGAAAATTCCTCCGTGTTTGCACGTCTATAAATGGATTTGTCTTCCTTATATCACATTATTCTGTGCACAAAACACTTCCTGCAGGCACAGGAGGTTGGATTTTCAGAGTTACAGCTATTAATTTAAAATTGAAATGTGCATTCACAGCGATGAACATTCTCAGAAGCCACCATGGGGGTGGCCAAGGAAGTTGGGAACCATCAGAGCTCTTAAATCTCTGATGCTGTTAAATCTGAAAGCTGAGGTCATTTTCTCAGTAAGGATAGAAAGTCCTTTGTTCCAAAGGAAATACAACTGATTTCTTAACATCAGCAGTGACATGGGGAAATGACAGTGTAATACCTGTTTTTTGCTACCTGAGCTACCATTGACCTGAGGGTTACAAAGACTTTCTAGCACATTTCTCATTTATTTGCATTGTTGACACATAGACACTATAGTAAGAACAGAGTCCCTCTGAATAATCCCATTTTGCATGACTAAGAATTTCAAGAGGTGCTGCAGGAAGGGGAATGGATCTGATTTGCCAGTTGTAAACTTCAACTTAAGCTTTCTGCATATTTTATGACAGGAGTTAAAGGAGCTCTGGAATAAATGAAAATCAGGCTCAGCAGCATCACTCAGCTAAATTTGCTCCTTATAAAAACAAAGTGATTATTGTCTGACTGCTCAGAGGCAACTGGGGCTGGATTTTCAGAGGTTGAGCAGTCATGTATCACAATTATATTCAGTGAGATTCATTAATAAATCAGTCAATTGCTATGACTCAGGAACAAAAAAGTTTTGATGAGTTTTTCCCATCCTGCTGGAAGGAAAGAGATTGTTTATGAAAGAACAATGATGTTCAGCAACAACAACAAAAAAAATGCATTAATCCAGAGCTGTCTGGCTTTATCAGGAACAGAAAGGAGATTCACTGAGGTAAAATATGAATCCTGTCAAAATATCACTGTTATCTGGAAAAGAGAAAGCAGGACAACAAAGGAACTGGTTATCAGAAATAATGATCTGTTGGTGGCAACAGAAACAAAGAAAACAAACACATTTCCTTGAAATTAAAACGAAACAAAAGTTACAGTAAGGTTAAATCTTGATTATAATGAGTAACGTAGTGATCAGCACAGGTTAAAACAATTCAGGTTTCTCTGAAGAATGCTCATTCTTCTTCAAGATGCAGAGTCCCTTTCCCTCCCATTTGTTCCTCATGCACATCTGAGACAGAAGCAACACAACCCCCTCATGCTCTCCAGGGACCAAGAGATTCTCACACGAAATCATGAACCAATCTGGAGACCTCCAAAAGCCTCATTAATTACAGCATCCAACAGAGATGACAAAACACCCACTGTCACAATAAATAGCGAGGGATGATGTTTCTTACTTAAAAAAAAAAAGAGAGAACAAACCATTGAGAGGTGAGGCTGTTGTGGCCTTGTAGTTGGTGGGAAATGATCTGTGTGTTTCCATGTAAATATTTTACCTCATGTTGGTAGTTTGGGTTTGAGAGATGGACAAATGCAGTCATTAGTCTCCAGATCTGAACTTACACGCTGGTACTTTGATTATTATTGATCTCAGCCTTGTGTCTATAGGTTTAATTCCTCATGAAATTCATATAATGGGGTAAGAGGTGGAAAAAACGTTTTTAGAAAGGTAACTCCCAATGTGTTACAATCTTTTTTTTTCTTCTCTGACATTGCCACTTCCATGCCAACGCTGCAAACCTCTTGTAATCTTTCTTGTACTTGAACCACATCCCAGACAAACACCTGCAGCATTTTGCTATTCTCACATGCCTCACCAATAGCAAATGCATCAAAATCTCTCTTTACGTGCAATTTGAAGAGAGATTTGATGCTACATCACCTTAAAAGCTGAATGGGGCATTTTCTGCACCACTCAAGGCTCTCATTCCATAACAAGAAGAGTTTTATCCCATGCAAAAGGAAGAATAAACCAACTAAGAGGAAATGCATCACTTACAAAGCCCAGAATCTCTGCAGTGGAACAGCCACGTGGAAATGAAGGTCTGTATTTTAAAGCAGCAAAATGGCTCATGAATCCATGGAAAATACCTGTAGTAGCTATGGCTTCCAGGGCCCGAGAGAGCTGGCCTTGAGTGCTTCCATGGAGGTTAATCTGGACTTTTTGCCAGCTGGGAGATTGGGGATTTCTGTTTCCTCGATGGTTTCCCAGCAAAAATATTCCTGTGTTCTGTTCAAACTGCTCAGGTCTTTCAGAGTGATAAAGAACTGATCAAATCCCTCACACACTGTGCTGCCCAGCACAGGGGGAAACTCCTGAAAGTCTTGGGGGTTATACTGAGGTAATGAAGAGCTCAGTGGCTTCTGAGCTGGGCAGGTCAAGGGGCACCAAAAGCAGAGCAGGAGAATCAGTGCTGGGGGTGGTTAAATAACTGGGAGGATTAAATGAGGCTGCACTGATCAATTCCCCAGGAGTTGTGACTAGGAGTGCTAAACAGAGGCAAAACACAAGTTGAAATTTCCTGATGATAAACCCCCAAATAAATCAAACTACATCTGCTTCAGCACAGTTTGTGTGCTTTGCACTGAGGAGCTCCAAGAGCAGAGAAAAAGGGGGAGTTCTCCTTTATTTGGAGACTGAATCCAGGCCACAAGCAGAGGCAGCATCACCAAGCACAGAACCACAATAACCAGCAGGTCCAGAGCAACAACCAGTGAACACAGAGCTGAGCTCAAATGCTTCCAGCAGAGAATGGGGCACATCCTCAGTCGATGTAAATCAGTTCTCTTTGATGACCTCCAAAGAGCTCTGCTAATTTACATCAGTGAGGATTTGAACCCTCAGCCTCAAACATGCCTTTTGTCTTTACTGCAGCCCATCAGTTACTGCTTCTGCCACAAACCAGGAGTGAATCCATGCCAACTATCACAAACACATCCAAAGCCAGAAATCAGCCACAGCAAAACCCTGTTAAAAAGATCAATTAAAAACAAGCATTGGGATACATGCAGAAAAAAATGGAGGGGAACACACAACTTTAGTTAAACACTAGGGCAGAAAGAACTTGAGCAATCTTTCTTTAGAGAGATCCCAAGGAATGGAAAGGGAAAAGCCTTGGCCTTCAACATGCTGAATGATCCCTGACTTATCCTGTAGCACAGCCAGATTCTGAAAATCTGAGGAGCGTGGAGTCACAGAGGATGTGTTTGTGATCACAGCCCCAAGGCAACAGGCAGGTGACTTCTCTGACATGCAGAATTATCTCCTCATTAGTGGAAACCCACATCATTTCACACCTCAGTGACTTCCTTGCTTTCATGCTCCACTTGCATTCAATTAAGAGAGAGCAAGTCATCCAGCACCATCAATCAGCTCGGCACAAATATGTACTCAGGATTCATTATCTGTCTCCAAATGAACACATTTATCAGAAAGAAATATATTTTCAGAGGAGTAAAATCAATTAGAAATGTTTTCAAATAAAAGGAGAAATGTTATCTTGAAAATATACTTTCAGGGCAAGCACAGATGTAAAAACATTATTTTCTGCTCACCCCAGGAAGAAGCCTGTAAAGCAAACAGGGATTTATGTTCACATGTATCATTGATATTCTTGAATCAGGAAAGGACTGTCCTTAAATCACCCCAGACATGACTTGAATCAGGCTGCAACCTGGAGACAACCATGTTTTCATCACACCACCACACATGTGACACATGATGGTATCTGCATTCTTTTCAGACCCCTTTGTTAAACCACTTTCCCCTCTCTCAAGTAATTAAAGTGGGCTAAAAGTGCCTGTGCACCTCTGAATTTCATGAATGGGCCACTGCAGCATCAGAAACCAGAAATACCACAGCAGCTACCACTAAAATCCTCACATGGGAATCAGGTTCCAGGTACTCTCAGCTGAGAAAACGGACCATCTTCCCTGGTAGATTTAGTTTCCCAGTGGTCAGCACTGCATTTTCCCATGGGGCTGCTTCACCTAATCACTCTTCCCAATGTTTCTCTGAGTTTGTACAGAAAAGGGTGGAGCAATCTAAGAGCAGAGGAGCCAGGAGAGGAAGAGGGACTGACGCACAGCACAGACAAGGCCTCTGGTAAACAGCATAAATCTGCCTGAAAACATTCAGCAGAATGGAAAAGTTGCTTCTCCAAGCTATGCTCGGATGTGCAAACTCACTTCCAGAGGCAGGAGAGGATCACATCCACGATCCATCAACAGTTGCTGCACAATCTGGGTCCCTCAGCAGAGGAATTCGAGCTTGGCTCTTGGTTTCTCTCATGTTCACTCATTTGTCTCCCTGGGCCTCTCATGCCTGATGGATTACCATCCATCCTGCCCCAGGACCCACATTGTGCTCTGCAGGCAGAGCTCCAGAACCAGAGCAGGGGAGAACAAAGCTGCAGACTGACTGCTCAGCTTCCTCAGAGCTGGGTGACGTGCTCACCCTGCAGATTAGCTGGAGACCTGATGGAACATTCTCAAGATGTGCTGCCACAAAGGGCCCTCCAACGAGTAAAAAAGCTAATTTCTGACTCACATCTTAGTGCTGGGTGAGGCCTTTGTGATACCTTCATTAGTAACAGAAAGGAGGTACCTGTTGGAGTACAGAGCTCCAGAGAACAGCTCTGTTCTCCAGCCAACCCATACACCTTGATTTTATAGGAAGTGTTAGCTTGGAGGTCAGGGATTCCCTGGGCAGGAAGGTCTCTGCAGTGGGCACAGCTCCAAAACTCCACCAAAACCCAGTGCAGACTCCTGTATTCACACACCACCAGGCACTAAAGCTGTGGTCTCTTACCCTCGAGACCTCAAGGTCCCTCAGCACATCTCCTGAATCCCTGATGCCTCTGGAGGAGGAAAACTCCCAGAGAAAGGAAGATCTTCTTGGTCAGGACTCACTGCCTGAATTAGGGCTACACTGTATAGAGCTACAGGAGACAAACAAGCAAGTGGCAGACTGAAAGGTTTAGTCTTTTCTTTTCAACGAAATAAAATGACATTTTGCCAACCCTTGAATGCAGAATCATGGCTATCAGTTAAAAAAAAATATTTGTCACTTGAGCTGCACTTCATCCACATGAAGAGACAGAGCCAACAGACATCTGCCATCCTACAGTACAGAGGATTTTGTGACATGTCCTCTGCTAGAGGTTCATGAGTCCTGAACATTTCAGCTGCCTGTGAGGGGAGAGCTGATGTTCACAAGTAGATAACAGGGAGAATGTGAGAGGAGAGAGAAGTCTCCCAGAGATTTTCAGCTCTGGAAGCTTTAAAAGAAGCTTTAAAAGAAGCTTTAAAACGCTATAAAATACACTGTGCAAGCAAATATAAATAAGGTGTGGGAAACTCCTGAATACCTGCTGGCAGGGAAGCCTGAATGAACCATCCAGAGGATGGGAAGAATATGAGGTGAAAACCTGGCAATCTGCAGGAGCAAAGGAAGCTGGAAAGAAGAAAAGCCAGCCCTTTTGCAGCTGCTGGCTCCCTTGTTCAGCAGGGATGGCACAGACCCTCCAAACAGCAGGATTGCTTCCTCCACCCATGGGGAAGAGCCAATCCAGTCCTAGTTGTGGTGCTGGCATTGCCCACTTCAATCATCCCTCTCTCTCTCCCCCTGGTTGCTCCAAGGACTTTCCCCAGCAGTGCAAAGGATCTGAGGTCCCCCAGGGCTCTGCAAGAGAAACAAGTTTGTTTGGCTCAGCCTGAGGACTCCAGGACCTCCCAAGTGCTGGAAAAAAGGACTGACTTGAAGGAAGATGGAAAAGCAAACTGAAGAGCCCACTTGTGTTGTACTGCCCAGGTTTCCAGAGCACTTCTGCTCCTCGTGCTCATGTTTGGATTTGTCCATTCCTACGTAGGAGGGAGGTCACAGAGACAGGTTATTCAACTGCTGCTCCATTTCAGGGAGTTCTGTGTTTACTGGCTGCTCTGAGCAAAGACATAAAACAAATGCACTGGCCAGAGGAAGGTATTTCTAAAGAAAAATAGGAAAAAAATAAAAAGCCAAACCGGGAAAAAGCAGTCACCTTGTGAAGCTTTGCAAGCTCCTGGTGGAAAGAGCAGACTGTGAAATTCTACAGCAGGTTGTTGCTGCCTTTTCACCATCTGTGCAGAATTCTTTTGAGACCTCTGAGGCTTCAGACAGACGGGGAAACAGAGAACTTTGGGAAAACTGCAACCTGCCCACTCCTGCCACATAAACCTTTTGTATGTTGTGCCTCAAGACTTCCTAATTTTTCCCTGCCTTGGACTGCATTTCCCTGCCTGCCTGAGGCATCAAACAACTAATTCAGTGCTGATGGTCTCCTGTAGTTTACACCACTCCATACAACCCTCTGGTGTCCTGGATTACTGTGTCTATAAAGCATCAGAGGTAGTGCTGGCATGAACTACCAGGGAATATGAGCCCAGTTATTATATTTATATATAGTGTATTTATTTATAGTAATAGTAATTATATATAGCATAGTTATTAATTTGTAAAATCCACAATGTCTGGCATGTGTTTACCTCATAGATGGTCTTTGGGAAGAAAAGGATAAACACCTTGATATCTGCTAAAGACAATAATTGCAACCCAGCTGATTCTGATTTTAGTCTCTGCTCACTTAGAGCAATTCCTTTGCCTCACAGGATTTGACCTGAAGGCACATAAAGATTCAGGATTTATTTGTGTTCTGCACCGAGGTGTAATTCTGTGGGCAACAAACTTTGGGTCAAAATGTTTCACAAAGAGTAAAACCTTGTTCAGTGAGTCCACTGACACTGGTCAGTTGGAGTGGTTTGGACAAAGAGAGATGGTAGAAATGGACCTCTTTTTGAAGATAAATATAAGTCACAGTATCCAGTGGAAATGGTGGCTGGAACCAGATTTGGGGCAGTCACCTTTCCCACTTTTGGATGAGAAAATTGAAAAAGGGCAACATCAGAGCCCTGCTGACCCTGCTGAAGCATGATGGGTGGAGGGATGCTGTGAAGAGAATTCATTAGGAAGGAACAAGCAGTGTTAAACACATTCTGGTTGCTCTTCCTCTCAGATTTTGGCTGTAGAAAACAAAGCAAGTTATAATGCACAAAAAACCCCAGCCTCATGTAAAACAAAGTAGGAGCTCTGCATTTCATGCAGGACCAGTGGCTGTTCTTTGTGAAGCCTCTCAAAAAATAAATAAGAAATCCTTGAGAACACAAAGCTAAACACAGTAGGCAGGAAAATGCACAGTTATCCCTCAGTGTGGCATGTTAGGCAGAGCTAAGTCTGAGACAGATTTTCTAAGCCTCAGACATGGCTTAGAAAATCAGGTGAGGTTGTCCTTGGGCTGGTCCTTGCTCAGTGACCTGTGCAGGGCACCCACCAAAAGCTGTTACTCACCAGTGGAACCCTTGACAGTCGTGGGTTTGCTTTTGTGCCTGCCCTTCTCTGCCACCAGGCTGATGGTGTACTCTGTGCCTGCATCCAGCCCTCTGAGGATGAAGGAGGTGCTGTCCACTGGGATCTCCACTTCGCTCCTCTTGCCAGAGGGACTCGTGTAAGCGAGGCGGTAGCGGTCGAACTTGGCCACCGGTCTCCTCCAGCGAAGGGCCAAGGTGGTTTCAGTGGGGTCACTGACTTCCAAGTCCTTGGGGTTATCAAGATCTAAGAGTTGAAAAAAAGCACAGCTGAGATGTCTCTGAACTGCCCTGGGACAGGCACAGACAGAATAACATCCCCACTGGGTGTCTGGGCACAACTCAGGGTCTTATCCACCTTCTGGAGTTTTTGAAGCCCATGTGGGTAGAGGATGATGAAGTTCTGTTTTACAAACAAACCACACCAGAACAGATTTCCCCTACTGACAGTCACTTCAGATGCAGGAGAGGCAGAATTAAAGTCTTCAGCCTTACCTGGGAAAAGAGGGGTGTTGTGAGAAAAATTGTGGATTTGAAGGTCAGTCAGGACTTGCAACCACCAAGGCTGCACTCGTTGCCAGATCAACATTTTGGCCATCACTACCTGCCAGAAACCCTCACAACTAGAGGATGGCCAAATCAGTGAAAGCATAACTACCACTGAGGAGCTCACCTGGAGATGAAAATCCCAGAACACCGAGAAATCCTCGTACAGGAAAAAGAAGCCACACTCAGAGGTCAAGATCTTTAGGGAAAACATTTTTTCCCTTGAGGGAAAATGCCCCATTGGGAGCAAACTGAAATGAAGAACTTTCTAAAATAGTTTTTACTGCATCATTTGGAAATGAAAGAGTGGATCCACAGGACTTGGTCCTTCCTCCAGAGCAGAAAGGGGGGTCAGGTAGGTCAGGTACTCACCAGTGCCAGCATTGACGGTAGCGGGGGCACTTTCCCTGTCGTTCCTCACTGCTGTCACTCCAATGCCATATTCAGTTCCAGGCCTCAAACCTAAGAGATGAGGAAAAGGAATATGAGTTCCTGTGCTTGGAATACACCTACAGGCATTTGTTTTAACAAGGAAGGCTCAATGTGTGCCGGGTGGGATGGATGCTTTCCTGAGCATGCAGGCAATCGAGGTTTCAGCTAACCCTGACCTGATGTTAATAAATCTTTATTCCACTTACATACCAAAGGATAAAGATTATGGCTGACTGACATTGCATTTTGGACACTGCAAATGCACAATCAGAGACAGCCTCTACTTTCCAGAGCTTGCAGTGGGAGTAGCTCTGCCAAAGAAAAGCAGGTTGGCACCCACACGACATGGAGGAAGAACCATGACCTGGCCTTGCAGGCTGGGAAAGCAACTTGCAGGTACACAGAGAAGCTGCAGACTGGCACCAGTAAATACCATCCCTGCCACATGCAAACGCCTTTGGAACTCAGGGTGTGAAGCCCCCTCCACAGAGACGTGGAGCTGCCCAGAACTCAGGGACCTGCCTGACGGGATTGAGGGATGCACATGGAAGGAAAATGGCTACAAACCCTTCTGCTGGCTGGTTATCCACCTGCAGGTGTGGACAGACACATTCCAGGGATTTTAATTTAACTGGGTGCACTTAAAAATCAGAGAATCACAGAATGGTTTGGGTTGGAAGGGACCTTAAAGATCATCCAACCCCCTGCCATGGGCAGGGACACTTCCCACTGGCCCAGGTTGCTCCAACCTGGCCTTGGACACTCCCAGGGATGGGGCAGCCACAGCTTCTCTGGGCAACCCCACCCTCACAGAGAACAATTCCGTCAGTACATCTGCTCTAAACTGTGACCCACCTGTGAGTGTAGCTCTGGTTGTGGCTTGGTTGCCCTTTGGCACCGTGATCTCCACGTGGTCTCCACCAGAGATGGGGGCAAACTTGATTCTGTAGTTGTCAACGTTGGCGTGGCTGTTCCTCCACTCCAGGGTGATGCTGTTGTCTGTCTGGGACACTGGCTTCAGGTTTCTGGGAGCATCCAAGTCTGCAATCCATCAATTCCATTTATTTATAAATAAAAAAATAGGAATATTTCTCTTATGATAACAGTTTCTTCTAACAATACTTTTTAAAAGGTGAAATGACCCACAACACTGAAGTTAAGTTTCTCTTCACCTGATACGACTTAACTACACCAAGCAGATTTCTTTTAGCATAAAATGGAGGGTTCAGCAGCTTTGGAGAAAACATCACTTCAAGAAATTAAACTTTTATCTCCTCAGACAAAAATAATATTTTCAATGGTAATAAATATTTTTTGTTACAAAATAGGCTTGTGGAAAAATGTATTTGGATGAAAACACTATTTTCCTTTATAAATGCCTCAGCTTTTGAAAGGAAAAATGCTGCTGAGAACAAAGAACTGATCATTTCTAGAATTTCTGTTCAGTAAATATCTTGCATTTCTGGCTGAAATAAACTCTGAGTCTCAAAAAAAAGGTGAATATTATGTAGAAATTCAGTGGGCTCTTCACTGTTCACACCTCAAATCCTGCTCTGAAGGAACAACTGTATTTTAGGATGAAAAGAGAGGTAATTCTCTATGTACCATTTTCTCCCTTAATGCATCAAACCTTGATAACATGCAACAGGAACCACATTTTCACAAAACATTCCCGGGGCACTGAGGAGCAAAGTCAATTTATAAAAGCACAACAGGAAACATTTGCAGAACTGAAGGAGGACAAAAACCAGTTCTTTGTTAATCTGATACATACTTAGACAAGAAACAAGGCCTTAGATGGAACAGGAGCCATGGAAGACCTTAAACTCAGCAGACAGAAAAATAATCCAGAGGAACTTGTTTCTGAGAGATTTAGGGTACGAGACACAATGACCTAAATCCCATTTTCAAAATATATTTAGATTTTAAATATTTTGTCGAGCCAGGAAAGCATATGAGGCACAGAAAAAAAACAACCATTCTCCACTTTCATGTACCTCTGTAAACATGCTGATTCCATGCTGGTCTCCAGCCTCTTACCTGTGACAAACACTTCTTTCACAGGGTCACTTTCCATGTCCCCTCGACGAGAGACAAGTGTCACTTCATACTCTGTGTGCGGCCTCAGGTTTCCGATGGAATATTGGTTTTCATCTTCAGAGAGCTCAATGGTTGTCCTGTCCCCTGGGATGTCCTTGGGGCCATAGGTGAGCTCTATGTCTTCAACTTCAGCCAAGGGTTTGGACCATGTGATGAGGGCTGTGGTGTCTGTGACGTCTTTTGCCTCGACCTGGCTGGGGGCATCAAGCTCTGTTATAAAAAAAAATAGACAGAAAAAGGTGTTTTTTGAAAGAAATCTTGCCATAAAAAACACATCCATTCTTATGCTTTTAATTGCTGATTCAGAGCAAAATTAAAACTAGTGACTTTGGCCAAGTTTTAGTATCTTCGTTTACTCTCTTCCAACAGGTTTAGACTCCAAATGGAATCATTCCATCAGAAGCAAATTCAACATTCATTCACATCAGAAGCTGCCAGAGGAAAGACAAGCAGGAACCCTGAGAGCTTCTCCATCTCCATACAAACATCACCAGGATGAAAAAAATTTTAGTTCCTGTTGATGTACATTTTGAAAAAGAGTAAAAGTGCATTCTGCCTGCTCCCTTCTAGCTGAACATAAATTTCCTTTCCTCTGTAGGTAATTTGGAAGGGAATTAAATTTCCCCCACAAAATAATTTTTCATCAGCAGCTCCACTACTTCCTTTTCACCCCTATGGATTCACAGGATAGAGCTTGGGTTTCTCTCTGTTTAAAAAAAAAACACACCCGTTTTTTGCTGTTGGCCAACAAAATACAGGCCAAATCACGTTGTCCTTACTTGTTGTTATCACTTTGGACAGTCCAGGTCCTCTGGTGTTGTTTTTCACTACATGAATGGACACATTGTACTGTTGCCCAGGTGCCAAACCTGGCTGCATGTAAGATGTCTCTGGCCTTTTCAAGCTGCTGGTTATATCTCCATTATCATCCTTTTTCTGCAACACACAGAACAATCTGTCAGTATAACAGAAAAAAAGCCAGGATTTTTCACTCCACATGAACACACAGGAAGCTGCTTCCTCACCATGTTGTGGAAGACCAGCTCCCAGCCATCAAAGGAAAAGTTCAGAGGGTCCCACTCCACCTGGACGGATGTTTCTCGAACAGATTTGAACCTCAAACCTTCTGGAGCAGGGAGATCTGGGGCAGAAAAAAGGGAAATCCTCATATAGGCAACAAGTTCCCATAAATAGGGTGTGGGGTGGGACATCTTTCCACCACTAGAAATATCTGCCACGTGCAGCTGAGATGGTTAAACCACCTCCCAACCAGTTATTCTGTCTTTGGAGAGGCTTTCCTCTGAGCTGGTTTGGATGTCACCTTGCAGTAAAATGAATTTTGACCTAGAAACCTCTTTTTTGTGCCCTCTTGACTGTCTCTGGCGTGGACATTTGCAGGCAGGTGAGCTGAATCCTGCCCCAGGTCTCTAGAAATGAGCTCAGGGACAGAAGTCAAAGAGCACCTTTTGAGGCTGTTTAGATATGACTGTGATGTACACAAAATATAGAGGAAGATGAACAACAAAAGGACAGACAGGCATATAGAAGGCAAGTTGTGGTAAAACTGAAGATGAAAAACAAATATAACCTCCATTTTAACCAAACCAGTTTGAATTCAGGTGATTTCATATTGCTTTTTTACATACTGCACATTTTTTATCAGGTTTTTTTCAGGAATGATGACCAGAATTTTAAAATGTACATTATAATAGAGAAGCCAAGGTTCTTAATTTGCAAAGACCTCATGGTGTTAATTGGGAGGCACAGCAAAGAGCAGAAGAGCCTGTGAACTGTATTTTTACACAGTCATTGGCACTGGAAAAGAATAGAAAATGAAAGTGCAAAAGGCTGTCTCTGTCCAGAACAGATGAATTGAAACTAGAAAATACAAAAGAAATAATATCTCCAAGAGAAGGAGGCAAATCAATACAAATAAATTGCAAATTGAAGTTAAAAAGAAATAAAGTCCTCAAAAAGAGAGGCAAATCAACATAAACGAATTGAAAATAGAAAACAAAAAATAAACAGTGTCCCACAAGATGGATGTGAATCAGTACAAATGATTTGAAAATAGAAAACACAAAAATAATAACCCAAAATAAGGGGTGCAAATCAATGCATGCTATGGAATGGACAGAAGGATGGATCCAGGGAATGTTAAACTCACATGTGGCTACCCTGGCACTGACTGGGATACTCTTCTTGTTTTTAAGGATGGCAAAGACACGGATAAAATATTCCACACCCGGCTCCAGCTCATGGATGGTGGCAGCTGTCTGGTTTCCTGGCACAGTGAACTGCATGTCCAAGCCCCCAGTGCTGGTGGGGATGTAGGTGACCAGGTACTCATTGACAGGATTCTCATGTTTCCATTCCAGGTTGACAGTTTTATCCGTCACGTTGGTCACCATCAGCTCGGTTGGAGGAGACACTGGGAGCAGGGGGGAAAAAAAATAAAGTTATAAGAAGTTTTCATGGCTCGGAAAATAACGACTTCCCCAGTTTTCCCATTTTCCCAGGGATTTCATGAGAATTATCTAACAGGGGCTGGGCAAGCCACGGCCCACAGATTAACTGCTGAGGAGAGGAATGTTCGGCTGATGAAGACCACAGACATTTCCAAAATCACGGGGCCAACTCCTACCCTCACACTTGCACACAACCTCTGGCTGACTGTGTTCCAGCTCCTCCTCTTGTGGCTGCAGCACAAGACTGTTTTAGCTGGGTCCCCAGGGGCTCAGATGGTTCATTCAACTGCCAGCAACACGTGATTGTAGAGCTGCAAGTCCTGGGATTTGCGCAGATTTTCCAAAGTAAAACCAAACATTGTTATTTTAGTAAATACTGCCAATAGATCTCCACGTGCAAGAGCACAAAATGGGGCTTAGGCCTCTTCTGGAAGGAGGAGATGAAAGATGGGAATTTCTTTTTAAGGGTATTCATTGTCTTTTATGGTGTTCTCAACCTCAAAGCATTCTTTGATTACCCTACAAAAATTTAGTTTCCAAATTTCTCCCCTGGGATCTACTAAAGAAAACTACCTCATTTATAGTGTAAAGCCTGTCATTATCCAACTGCCAAAATTCTCTATCAATTTCCATGGAGTAAGTGGTAGTGGGAAACTCAGCATGGGACTGTAGAGCTGAGTTTCCACTCCAGCCCATTCCATGATTTTCCTCTAAGCTTCTGTCAGCTCTAATACACACACCTCCATATAAATATAGAAATGTATATGTAAAACCTCCATATAAAAAATGAATAAATTATATATATGCACAAAAATAAATATAAATATAGGTATAAACCAAATATATATTATATATAAATCTATATGTATAAATAAATACAGGTATAAACAATATATATATTACATATATATATATATAAAATACACACACATTTGTGTATTAAGAAGACTCTGGATACATCTCCCTCTCCTCCATACCTAGAACAGTTTCTTTCAGATGCTCTTTTTTTTTTAGCATCAAGAGGTACTATGAGAAGGTGAAATATCATGGTGACAAATCCCAGGCAGGACTGGTTACAGCTCCACTGACATTGTGGTGGGAGCAGAATCACAGAATCAACCAGGTTGGAAAAGACTTCTGAGATCATGGAGTCCAACCTGTGACCCAACCCCACCTTGTCACCCAGCCCATGGCACTGATGCCACATCCAGGCTCTGCTCAAACACCTCCAGGGACGGGCACTCCACCCCCTCCCTGGGCAGCCCATTCCAAGGGCTGATCCCTCTCTCTGCAAACAACTTCTTCCCAATGTCCCACCTAAACCTGCCCTGGGGCAGCTCAAGGTTGTGCCCTCTTGTCCTGCTGCTGGTTCCTGGCAGCAGAGCCTGACCCCCCCAGCTCCCCCCTCCTGTCAGGGAGTTGCAGAGAGTGAGAAAGTCACAAATGAATGATAAGGTGTCTGGAAATGGAGATAAGAATTGCACTGCAACACCGTTATCATCCTGTTGCTTCTGACTCCCAAAAGTCTCCACAAACTGCCACAGTGTGTAACCCTGACAATTAAGGGGTGCCACGGTGTTGTTACAACCCTGATTCAAGTGTTTGGACTACGCTGAAGAAAAGCAGCAACAGGGCCCAGTTTTATGGAGAAGATTCACGGAAGCTCCAAAGCTGCTGGATGGACACAGGGAGTGTGTGCATCCAAGGGGAAGTGGTTCCGAAGGGGCATCGCCACCTACCATCGGAGCAGTCCTCGCCCATGTACCCGTCCTCGCAGACACACCGCCCGTCCACGCAGCGCCCGGCGTTGCTGCAGTCGCTGGGACAGGCCCGTTCCCGGCAGTCCTCGCCCACGAAGCCCTCCTGGCACACACAGCGCCCGTCCACGCAGAGCCCGCGCTGGTGGCAGTCGTTGGGACAGGCCAGCTCGCCGCAGTCCTCCCCAGTGAAGCCGTTGTCACACTCACAGCGCCCCTCCACGCAGCGCCCACGGTGGTGGCAGTCCTGGGGGCACCGCAGCTCCCCGCAGTCCTCGCCGGTGAAGCCCTCGTCGCACACGCACTGCCCGTTCACGCACAGCCCGCGGCCCTGGCAGTTGTTGGGGCACCGCAGCTGCCCGCAGTCATCCCCGGTGAAGCCCTCGTGGCACTGGCACTGCCCGTCCACGCACAGGCCACGATTGCTGCAGTCCTGGGGGCACCGCAGCTCCCCGCAGTCCTCCCCGACGAAGCCCTCGTCGCACACGCACTGCCCGTCCACGCAGCGCCCGCGGCCCTGGCAGTCGCTGGGGCAGCGCAGCTCGGCGCAGTCCTCGCCCAGGTAGCCCTCGTGGCACTGGCACTGCCCGCCCACGCAGCGCCCGCGGTGGTGGCAGTCGTTGGGGCACCTCTTCTCGCCGCAGTCGTCGCCCACGAAGCCCTCGTGGCACACGCACAGCCCGTTCTCGCAGCGCCCGTGGCCGTGGCAGTCGCTGGGGCAGGCGAGCTCCCCGCAGTCGTCCCCGGTGAAGCCCTCCTCGCACAGGCACGTCCCGTTGAGGCAGCGCCCGCGGTCGAAGCAGTCGTTGGGGCAGATGAGCTCCCCGCAGTCCTCCCCGGTGTAGCCCTCCTCGCACACGCACTCGCTGTCCACGCAGCGCCCGCGGCCGTGGCAGTTGTGGGGGCACAGGGGCTCGCTGCAGTCCTCGCCGGTGAACCCCTCGTGGCACAGGCACCGCCCGCCCACGCAGCGCCCGTGGGCGCCGCACCCCCAGGGGCAGAGCTCCTCGCCGCAGGCCGGGCCCGTGTAGCCCTCGAAGCACACGCAGAGCCCGTCCACGCACTTGCCCTGGTCGTTGCAGTCGGAGGGACACGAGGCCTGGCTGCAGTTGGGGCCCTTCCAGCCCGGCTCGCACACGCAGCCGCAGATCTCCACGCTCCAGTTGCCGTGCCCGCTGCAGTAGGGGGTGGTGTCCAGGCGACCTGTAGAAAGAGCCAGAAAACCCATGTGGGGTGAGGTGCACGCAGGTACCTCCCCCCGAAAATGCCCAAGGCAGTGGAAAGAATCGCAAAAAGGTTTGTTCTGAAGACGAGAACAGTAAAAGTTTCCAAAGGAAAAGCTGCACCGGGCTGCAAAGCAGAGCTGGGCCTGAGCAAGACTTGCCTGTTGGTCCCTCTTTCCCCCCCCAGCTCTCCCCACTGGCTTCAGAGACCTGCAGCATCTCTTGTCTCTCTGCACACCAGAGACGCAGAGCTTTTCAACTGTCTCTGGAATACAGAAGGGAAAGGAAATAAAACCCATCTAATTCCTTTGAAAAAGGCACTTTCCAGGAAGGGAAGGCTTCCTAGGTGACACCTGTCTCCTAGAAGTGAACTCTTCTGGCAAAAAGGGTATTTACCCTTACAACCCATTATTCTCTTGGCCCTGGGATGCCTCAGGCCAGAGTGGCACACAGGACCTAAAAAGGCTTTGATTTTCCTGACTCCTGATGGGAGAAATTGAAACTTTACTCACAGTAGCCCGGAATGGCCAAGTAAGGAACAATATAACCTTAGAGAAGTCCTCAAGAATTAGATAACGGATGTAACTCAAACAGACAGGACGTAAACTAAGCTCTGTGTGCCCAGATAAAGAACAAATGTTACAATTTTGGTGGGGAAGCACAACCAGAATCACCAAAGTTTTTGAAAGAGACTATCTCTTTTTTTCTCCAGCAAAGTTTGTTTTACCGGGAATCCCTTAATTCGCTCTAACGCTAGGGAAGAGCCCCTGCCAACTGCTTGGTAAATGAGCGTGCTGGATTCCTCCTCCCATCTCAAAATCCTCTTCCACTGATTGAGCAGCTTTCCTGACCACTTCATTAGGGAATACACCATGAAATGTTACTCATCCTTTCACTCCAGAACATAAAAAGCCAGACAACAGTCAGCATCAGCAGCTGTGAGAGCAGCTCTGTGCTCAGAGCAACATCACTCCTGAGAAGACCCGTGTTTCCTCTCCTGTATGACCAAACTTTTCCCTCAGTTTAAAAACCAGCTGGGCAGACACCTTTTTTCCTGCTTCTCTAACTATTTGTGCTTGTCTGCTGCCTTATGTCCTGCCGTATTTTTATTGGTCTCCAATAAAGAAAACTTGGAAAGGAAGATGGTTACATTGGCAGCTTCCTCAAGGGGACAAAACCTGGAGCCAAGAGCTTGGACTGTGTGAGTTTTAATCTCGACTCAGGCTGTCACCGTGCCCAAGTGCTGTCCATGCTCAGTGCCACAGCTACAAAGTGTCCCAGGCCAACTTCTGACCCACAGATCCACAAACCCGTGAAACTGTGAATGAATGTTCCCTGCACGCGGGCCAAACACATTCCCAGTTTTGATTATGTTTCAAATTTAACGGGTTGACTTGTGCTCATTCTTTAAACAGATTTGAGTATCTACTCTAAACAACTTGGACAGCCAGCACGAGAGTTTCCCCAAGAGCAGCTCCCCGGCCTGCCTTACCTTCTGCTGCCTGGGAATTGGGACAGCATCCAGCGCCGCTGGCACACTGCTCCCGCAGGGAGGATACCAGCCCCTCCAGTTCCTCTAGTCTGCTCAGCAGATCCTTAATGTCTGGGGCAGCTGCACAGCCACAGGCCCGCCGGGGAATGTTAATTCGGTGCGTGAAGACGATCTGGTTCCCCTCGTTCACCGTGTGCTCCTCGGAATTCCTGACCGGCTCGATTTCTGCCTTCAGGTCCGCGTCGCCGCTCGCCGCGTCCAGGTCCACGGAGCAGAGGGAGCCCACGGGCAGCTTGATGTTGTAGACGTGGTTAAAAACCACGGGCTGGTTGTCCTCTGGCAGGGTCACGTTGAGCCCGGTCTCCCGCTTGTGCCGGATGATTCTCTTGATGAGTCCCCCCCTGACGTGCTGGCACAGCAGAGCGAGGATGGCACAGGCCAAAACCCGGCTGGGCAGTGCCATGGTGCTGCTCGGGTCCTGTTTGGAGCTGAGAGAGTCTTATGTCTGTTTGGCCTTTGTAATCTGGAGCAGAAATTGGAGAGCCACTTCAAGCCAAGTTGGGTGTCCTTTTCTTTGCTGGCACACTTGGTCCCTAAAAGAAGAAGGAACAGTGTAAGGGGGGAACCACAGCTACACCACCCAACCTGTGACACTGCTCCTGTGCTGCACCCTTGGAGAACAGGGCTGAGGAGCTGCCCCGTGTACCACCCAACCTCCCCCAAGCTGCTGAGCTTGCTCTTATATATAACAGTGGTTTATATATAATAACCTGTTTTTCCAGCATCTCAGTGTGGTTATGAACAAAACGTCACCAGACATGGAGAAAACTACTGTTATATCAGGTTTAGAACACATTGAGTGGATTATAGAAGGTTTAACTGCCTCAAGCAGAAGACCAAGGTGAAGAAGCCTGCTGAGCCTCATCTCAATTCAAAATGCTACTTTCAGACTGTGGTAGGTAAAATAAATATATGTTCTGTTATGATATAACTAATGTTAAATACTGCATTTGCTTCACCCATCAGTTCACTGCTTGAAGGCTGCTGGAGGCTGGATCATGTAAGAAACTCAAGACGTTGTGAAAAGGTTTGTCAGCACCACAAAGCTCATTCCATCCCTTTTTTCATGTGCTTTAAATGCCTGCAGTTGCTTGGGAATCTGAACTCCAAGCCTTGTAGCCCAATAATAACTTTTGCTATCCTGATTATTTATGTGCAGCATGATGGTGAATGGATCTCTCTGGAGAGCTCTGCAAGCTGAAGGTTCTGGTGTCAGTGTTGTATCACAGTGATGTTTTAGCAGACAGGTAGTGAGACATAAGAAGAAGAGACTCCACCAAGGGAGACACACAACAGAAACAGCAATAAAAATGCATGTGTGGAAATGTCTTTTCAGCAGCCAACACACCTTTTCTCTAGGCAACATTTCCCACTGTCTGATCTTTCCTTGGCTGTACCACAACCTGCTTATGGTCACAAGCTGGCTGGGCTGTACAGCTCTTCCTGAAACCCATTCCTTTCACTACCTTCAATATCTCCTCTTCCTCCTCAGCCTGTACATGTTCCTTTTAAATGGAATGAGCCAAGGGAGCAGAAATACATCCGCTGACTTCCATGCAGAATCAGCCCTTCAGCACGTAGAGCGAGAACCCCGAGCAGCAAATGGACTGACTGAACAAACACACCTAATAAATGTCATCCCAGCATTTGTTTTCCTTCCTATTCCCAGCAAAACTCGGTTAAATGGTCAGGCCAGTGACTGTAAGGTAGTGAAATGCCAGTAATGGGGGAAACAGCAGTTTATTCTCTATACACTCCTGATTTGATGATAATTCATTTGTCAGATGAGAGATCAGCTTCTCCCACCCTTCTGCTTCCTCCAAAGCATAGAGATCATTTTTCCCATGCTGCCCCAGCTGCTTTTGTGGGAGAGTGACAACAATACATTAGACACTTCACTGAAATCGGTGTTTTTTGTAGACAGTGCTGAGCTCACAAAGAGCAAACTTCACCCCTTTTTACTGGGGAATAAATCAGAAGTAAACAAGCAGCAGGGAAGGCTTTTTTTCTTGTCATGGAAAAGTATTCAGCTTTAAGCTATTTCTAACACTTACCCCATTTGCTCAAATATGTCTGCAAGCCCTGTCTGCACCAGAAGAGATCACAAGGTTGTTAATAAAGAATAACAGAGACAGACATGGCCCAGGTCTCATTTGCGACTCAGGCCAATCTCTAAATTGGGTTGCCAGCTCATGAAACATGTTCAGGACTGTATTTGAAGTGGGATTTTACTCTCAAACACTCCCACTTGGGGTTTGCAGATTGATTGCCATGAAATGGGATTCCATGTGCTCAAGACAAGGTCATACAGCAAAAATGGGTGCCTAACCCCCGAGCAGGGGACAGGCTGCTTGGCAGATGGATCACCAATGGAAAGTGGAACAAACTGGAAGCAGCTCTGCATCTAATTCTCACTGAATTTTAGTGAGAGTTGAGCATCGATTTCCTTATGGCTTTTGTAAATCCCAGCCTACAAGAATATGGGCCTTGCCCAAACCAAGAAAGTGGATTGCACTTTTTCCTGCTGACCAGTGTGTTTACAGATCACTTAATGGTGGCACAAACTGTTATTTCCTTAATATGCCTGGAAAATGAAGAAACTGCTTCATGCAAGTCATGCCCTGCCACTGTTACCTTTGTTACTGATGGAAGCCACAGGAACACCAGGACTTTTCCTGGATACTCCCTGCATTAGAGGCAGCCAAACCTCTCATTACAGATGATACTGGAAGACTCAATGTCTCTTGGCTGACATCCTTTTGGAGTTTATGAAGAAGCATTGTGGTGGTCTAGAAGCAGCATTTCACGTCTGCCCTGTGACCTCTGTGTTGTGACACCTCCTGTGATGTCTGAGCTAATCCATCCACATCAGGTGTTTCTCATCTGACCTGCCAAGGACCCAGCAGGATCAGCTGAGCTCCACTCCTGGATCTGACACTACAAAACAAAGCAGCTTCAGGCAATTATTTATACATTAACCATAATTTTGGCTGGAAGAACAAAGATGACAACCTTCTTTCCAACCCCAATTCCTCAAGCACATCTAAACAACAGCTCGGGCCACAATGGACCACCCTGGAGCAGGTCCTGGAGAGAAATGGGAGCCATAGCAACTGTCAGGCTCTGTTATTCCTTCATTTTCCCTCACCTTCCTTTCAGAACAGCCCATGTAGACTGTATTTTAAACCTCTCTATGTTATCTTTGTAGACATCAGCTGCTGGATAATTTACAGGCACGTAAAAGTATTTGAGCAAGGGTTTGTAAAAGATGACCCTTCTCAGCATGAGTTTGGCCTTGTAGGATATAAGAGGAGCTGGGTGAGATCTGTACCACATCTCTCAGGTATGTTGAGAGGTTTGGATGACCAGGAATGTGTCAATTTTTTACAGGCAGTTTGTCTAAGACAGGGTATTACTCATCCTAATGAACTGTGCCCCTCATACCACCCTGACTACAACCCAACTGCTTCAAAAAGCTTAGCAGTGACTGTGCGGTTGGTCTGCAAAATGTTCAGTTTGTCATGCAGAACAATAAAGTCTCGAGCTCATGTTCTCCCCATCTGGTCATTGGCATCTCCCCATAACTCTCCTTGGGCAGCACTTCTCACTTACTCTCTCCTGCTCCCTGAGGCACAACCACAATATAAAGAAGAACAAAAGGTGCTGTGGCCTCTCACACATCCAAGATTTCCTGACTTCCTGCAGGGCTGAATTTTGCAGTCCTGTCACTTAACAGTTGCTTATGGGCACCAGGTAAAAAAAATAGACCCCAGAGTGTATCTCTTGGATGCACCAGTTGGCACTGTAAGAGTATTTTCAAGTTCTTTTTTTTTTTAAATTAAAATTAAAATTACATTTTAAATCTTCTTCAGAGCACACAAACCTAAGGAGTGATATATCTGACACAGATGCTCAGGGCAGAGGTGTCAGGCTCTCCCTGATAAATATTTCCATATCAATGTGACATGGAAAGAGAATGTTTGGCAATGGCTCAGCCACTGAGGTATTGGAAGTTTGGAAGCTCTGCAGGGAGAGCTGGGTTCAAGTTCAAGTCAGAAAAGCATGAAGATAACACACATATTTTCATTGCAGTCTCCTCTCAGTCCTGGCTGACTCAGAGTATGTTATTCTTCAATTTAGACTTTCTTTGGACTATTAAAAATTAGAGACTTTGAATTGAGAAGCAAATCATGGCATCCCTGCAGCAGCTGGGGCAGAAAGAGATTCAGGCAAAAAAAAATTTCCTTGTATAGACACTGAGTGTAAAAGTGAGATGTAACCAAAGAGAAGGAAAAGACTATATCAGGAAAACTCTCATTAAAAACTTGATCAGTGGCTAGTAAGGCTCTTAATAATATGTGGTGGGAATAAGATGGCCTGTCAGTAGCACAAAGAGAAGGAATAATTTTCGTTTCCACTGCAGCCCTTTCATCTGAGGATCTGAAAACAAGTCACAGTCTGGCTGTCAAAAGCTGCAAAAATGTTATTAAAAAGGGTTATTTCTTTGTTCAGACATTCCCCCTTTCCCTTGGCCTCCTCCCAGCATCAGAACTTTTTAAAGACCTTCCCATTTAATTTGAAATTTGTTTCTTAATAGGAAATTTTTAATCAATCCTAAGAAAAAAAAAACCTCCAGTAATTCTGACTCCTGGGGAATACTAAGCAAAGGTAATGTGTGAATATTTTCCTTCCCTGAAGACATATTTACTGGAAACCAGCAGGTGTGAGAAACTAAATTAACGTCTGCATAGCTGAGAGTCCTGGTGTAGCACTTTAGTCTGTCCTGAATATTGAGGAGTGGCAGAGCTGGGAGATGATTTCTGGGTATGTGGAGTGATAAATATGCAGATGAGAGCCCTGTGCAATTTTAATCAAAACAGATTGCAGCAATGAAGAAATGGAGGTGTTAAAGAGGATCTCAGCTGTCCTTCTCAAATGAGGCAGAAGGCTGATTAGATTTGCTCAGACACCCTCTACATGTCATGACTTGGAAATTAGACTGAAAAAAAGAGAGAAAAAAAGGAAACAATTCTTCTCTAAGCAGATACTTCCAACGTTACAGCAGGAGGGGATCAAATATTGTCAGCACATATTGGATTCGAGCACATCTTGTGTAAAATCTGCATAAAATAGCAACAGGCTGGATTGTGACAGAGAGGAAAACTCAGCTGGAGAAGAGCCAGGGCCCTCCCTGGAGAACACAACGAGGAGCATTCTGAGGTTTGTGAATTGCTGCCCCCAAAATAGTTTTCTGTGATCTGGTAACTGAAGGAACTTCAGAGTTTCCACCAAAGCATGATCTGCCCATCTGCTCCCTCCAGCCTGGGGAGCCCAGCAAAGCACGTGTGTCGTGGTGTCACAGCCCTCCTCTCTTTATCCCCTGCCATACACACAAAAGGGCCACAGCA